GTTGCCATAATCGGAATTAATTAATTGACATTGCGTCAAAACCTCTGTCGACACGCATTATAATTAACGTTGCCGCTGCAGATTCATTCCCCAATTAGCAACACTCAAGAATTTGAATTGCAAATTTTTATATCCTCGACAACGTTCGCAAAAAGCCATAGAAGGCAGTTTTTAGTGATATTGCTGTTAAACGGCCTTTCTGCTCTGCGACTCCTTTTAAATTTCTCCAGCACAATTGTTTTGGTGCTAAAAGTTCGTTCATGTGAATAAATAGCACGTGCATAATTGGGACATTCTGGCATACAATTTTTACATTTTTTAAAATGCTGGGGATATTTTATTTCTCTTAGTTTATAATTTTTTTCCAAAACTATTTGCGACTTTTCAAATAATGCGAAAATTTGTGTGGTAAAAGAGACAAAAAAGTCTTAAAATTCAGGTCGGAATTTGAATTTAAAGTTTTAAAACAGATCCAAGATTTGAAATAAACCCATTTCCTCAAAAAATCTAAAAAAAAAAATCACAATTTTCAGTGAATAATGTTTTATCAGTGACACAATTCTTGTCAGAATGGAGTAAAAAATATTTTTTTTCTCCAGTTTATAGAAATAAATATGATTTGAAGAAGATCAGAAAGCGTATTCATCGTGAATCAAATCGATCGGAACGAGATTTCCTCGCACAACTTTGAAAACTTTCGCGCAGCTTTCTGTGACAAATTCGTCCCGATTTGGTCTGCAATCGAGATAACCATTTTCGTAGACGTATCGCGCGATTTCCTCCGCATGGCCGCGCTCGACGAGTGAAACTCATTTGCATGCATACCTAATGCGCGAGGAGGCTTTACCTGACAAAAAGCAGTTCATGAACGGTCACAAATGTATCGATTTTGCATTTGGTATTGACCGCAAACTGTGGCACATGATTGCAACGGGGTCGTGTGTTCAACCGCGCTGCTGCTAGAATTTCACGAGGACCAGACCTTGAATTCTCTGCTCTCGCTCGTCGCATCTTAAATACCCACCAGTTTTCCCCCTTTTTGTACTCCAATCAGAAAAATTTAATCATAGAAACTACGGATTTCAAAAGTCCCAAAATTATCTATCTACTTTTCAAAACGATTGAAACTAATTCAATTGAAAAAATTCTAAAGCGTTAAAGAGAGACAAATTATTGTTTAGATTGATAAATTATGTAAATTTTATTTTTGAAAATTAATATCTTTCCTTTTTATTCTTAGAAACATTTTAATTACTTTTTAAATAATTTACAAACAATTAATGAAAAAGTAATTAAAAATATTTTTTTTATTGATTTTGATATGAAAATTTTAAATTGATCCAAATTTATGTTCAACAGTAACCCTTTTTGGAAACTCTAATGAAGAAAATGAAATGAACATTCACTTTAAGTAATTTATTGAAATTTGTCAATTCCAACGCTTGTTCATGTTCAAATAAATACGTCCTGAGGGGAAAATCAATTTGAAACGCGCGGGTCTTATGAGTTTACACGTCATTTTGATTAAATTTCAAACCTCGTTCAACGATCTTGCCGATCGGCAAGATATTAGATAGGAGAGCATAATGCAGCATTTAATGCACTCGCTGGTGCTGAAACCTTGACCAAAATAGCTGAGCTGCATGTAATCCACCCATGCAGAATAAGTCGAAACGGAAAGAAAAAAGCTCACACAGGAGGAAAATGGCTCGTTCTTGGCAAGGGAACGCGAATAAAAAGAAAACGAATCGCTTCTCTTGAATGGCAAACTTTTGCCAGCCGGCAGAGATGAGAGACGAATTTAGCCCTCGTTGTGCGCATCAATCATGAGCTCGCGAATTTTGCGTGTGCCAAGTCAATTTGCATTTGCAAGAGATTAATTTGCCAGAGTTTGCTGAAGCGCGAGCACGTGAATACAAAAGACGCACATTTATGTCGATGCAAATTGAATTTGGCGAAACTGTTTTCGTCTTTTCATTTGAAAGTAAAGTAAACAAGCTTATAAACAAACTTTTGCCCTTAATTTGGTTATTTTTATAATTATTAAAAAAATAATGAAATTTTAAAATTTTTCTATTCATTTTTTACTCAGAACAAAAAACCTTTTTATAATATCGATTAATAGCGAGTAGAGTGAATAAATATTAAATTTTTTTATTTGTGTAGAATATTTTTCTTGAGAAGGGATCATATCAGGCCATTTTTTGATTGTTGAAGCTCAATGTTATACTCTGAAACCATAATTGCTCCTAAAGAATGGCTATAATTGATTTAAAAAAATGCAATCAAGCCCTTTTTTCTCTCAATATAATTCAATTTTGTATGCAGATTGTATAAAAATGGAAAATATTTTAAATGCATAAATGAAATTATAAATAATTTTCAAAGCAATTCAAAATTATTAGTGTTGACTGTTGAATTCAATACAAATTTGACCTAATTCAACTGGTAATAATTTATTTATCCTCTCTCCATTCTTAATATTATATTTTAACTATTACAAAATTTGAATCTAATATATCCTTCTCAACTTCAAAAGGATAATTTAAATAAAAATTAACTCGAAGTGACATTTGGAGTTCCACAGGAGTGGCTTTCCCACAGATCCAGTAGCAAAAAAATATTATGTTGAAGAAAAAAACTTGAAAGAGGCGCCAGTTTTTTAAAGAGCTCATTTTTCTCGTCCCCCGCGCTTCTCAAATTACGCTTTGTCCCCTTGCGAGAGAGTCAGGTCGGCGTGACACCCTTCGGGCACCGAGTTGAGCTAGTGCAGCACGCGAAAATAGAGTGCGCGTGGCTCCAAATAGAGCCGGCCATGCATTAAGGCAGACGGAGTGGCGGGCCCACGGAATTATTGATCCAGTGCAGTCTCCGTCGTTCGACTCGGTGAATGTGGCCGGCTGGTGTCGGCACCGGCAGGCGCCCCGTTCTCCACACCCTTCTTTCGGCAGACAGGTCTGGAGCGGTTTGACGCACCTTGTTGTGTGTGTTTGTTTGAGTGAGCGAAGCAAGGGTTGGCCAGGTCGGCACCAACCAACCAACCACCGCCGATCGACAATGCACGACTTGCACACGGCACTTTCACTGCAGTAAGTCAATGTGACCTTTGCTCTGGTGCTTTTCCGCTTTTCCGGCAAAATACATGCATTCTTTTGAAGTATTTTGCAAATAATTATCAATTGTTGTTCTCAAATCTCCATATTTTTTCAAATCTATTCAGAATATTTTGGAAATTTAACATATTTCTAATTAAATCGTCAGAAATTAATGACAATAACAAAACAATATTATTTTTTAAAGATTCTTTAGGTTTTTTAAGCCTAAATTTTTAATTGCTTGATTCTGTTATTAATTTTGAAGATTATTCAAGTAATTTGATCCATTGCTAAACAAAATAGCAATAAATTATAAATGTAAATATATGAAGAGTAAATTAACCTTAAATTGCCTTAAATACAAAAATAATGCTAATGCATAGGAAAAACTATAAATTTCCTAACCTTTATATTATTTGCCCTCAATCAAGTTTTTATTGAAATAATTTAACATTTAGATTCCAAGTTAACGTCTCAAAAGCGTCACACACAAAAAACACCGGTACTCGCTTCCTGTTTTACCTTGTAAAAATCAAACAAGCTCTCTTTGTTTGACAAGCATTGTGAACAAATCGATGGCCCAAAATGTCGCGACACAGTGTCCTATATGGACCGTCTTTCTTTTTACCCAACAACAAACAGTCTTCTTAGTGTTACGCAATGTTGCTTTAGCGCCGCATATTCTAACAACCTTCGGTAAAAAGGATTGTGACGAAATGATCTCATCATCTGCTCGGCCGCTAAGCAAGGCCCCGGCACCTCCGAAGTGCATCGCGCGGTGTTCTAAATTTAAGTCGCAATTGAGAGAGCGGTGCACCCTCGCATCAATTATTATTTTTAGAATACACGAATTTTGGTGAACACTCTTCGCCTTGAACTTTGGAAAACTTTTCCTCCATTTATATATCGATCTTGGAAAGCCCGGCATTGGCAACTGTCACGCACGCATATATTTATTTTCTGCCATTACCAGCTCAACAACTTCTTCCCAGGAAGAAACGCGAGCAACAGTCCTGTCTGCGTCGATTGTCTCCAAAACCAACAGGCTGACGCACCACCTGGATTATAGTCGTTAATTTGCGCCGTTAATTGCCCTAATTAAAAAACAGGAGTTCTAATGAGCGTTGCAACTGATGCCAAATTTATTACATATTGTTGTAGCAGATGGGAGACTTTTGAATCATAACAGTTTGTGAAACATTTTAGGGCAGTAAAATAAAAACTAGATTCTTATGAAAATTAAATTAATTTGTAATTTTGCTGCGAGAATTATTTAAACAAAAAATATTGATGTAATGATTTAATCCAAAGTTCTGGTTCATTTCCGTTGATCCAAATGAAAAACCCAGAACTGATAAATCTCATTCTGGCTTCTCTTGTTTCTCCCGAACGGAAGCAGTAGGAGCAGCAACGCGAGGCAAACCTTTCATTATCAGCAGGCCTGGTTGTTCATTGACTCGAATCTTTCTCTCCAAGTCTCTTCTTCCTAATTACCTGGCGTGTGTGTGAACCAGCCGCTCGAAATTGTTTCTTTTGAGCTCTCGAGAGCCGCAGCCTCGAGGGGTGCATGCAACATTTTTTTCTTAAGAGTCATGCACCATTACACGAGGAGCGAGCGAGAAAGAAAGAAAGAGAAAGAATTCGTCTTGAGACCGGATGGGTGCATAGATGAGGCTCTTTTGAAAATTTGTTGACTCTCGCGGCGAGTGAAAAGGTGGCTCTTGGTTAAAATCAACAAGACACCGCCTCCAAGTACATTCATAGAAAAAAACAAGCTCCCTCCAAGCCAAAGTTTGAGATTAAAAAAAGGGGAAAATGCAAAGCTTGAACAAGAAAAGTTTTATAACAATTTTTACAACAAATATTAATTTTATTAAATTAAATTTTGAATATTTTGTGTTTCAGGAAAAAGATAGAGAGTATTGGCAGGATGACGCAGATGACGCAAGATGAAATTATCACCAACACCAAAACGGTGATGCAGGGCCTGGAGGCCCTGAAGAATGAGCACAACTCGATCCTGCATGGCCTCGATGGCACCACCGGTTCGCAGCCGTCCTCTCTGCAGTCGGAACCAAATGTAGTCGAAGAGAAGTCCACCCTTGTCCAGAAGTCACTCGAGATGATCGAGCTCGGGCTTGGCGAAGCTCAGGTAATTACAAATGAAAATTTTTCAACATTTTTTTAATAATTAATTCCAATTTAAGGTCATGATGGCCCTCGCGTCACATTTGCAAATGGTGGAGGCCGAGAAGCAAAAGTTGAGGACGCAAGTCCGAAGGCTGTGTCAAGAAAACGCCTGGTTACGAGACGAGTTGGCAAACACACAACAAAAGCTGCAGGCCTCTGAGCAGGCGGTGGCGCAGCTGGAGGAGGACAAAAGACATCTAGAGTTCATGGCGTCGATCAAGAAGTACGACCAGGACATCCAGGTTAGCATCCTATCTATGATACATATTATTTTGGGCTTTTCCATGATTATTGTACTTCTTTGTCTTACATTTGATGATGTCATTTTAGTATAAGGCAGACTATGAGACATCTGAAATAGTATTATTAAAATTCAGCTTGGTTTATTTGAAATTACTTGGTTCTTTCTTTTTACAGAATGATGAGTCGACAACCGACAAAATGGACAAACCCAAGCAGGACGACCCAGTTGTAGACCTGTTTCCCGATGAAGATGATAATGATAGAACAAGTGAGTTTTGCATTAAACAACTATTGATAATAATAATATTTAAAAAAAATATAGGATTAATTTATTTAAGAATATATTTTTTCCTGATAATCAGGGGATATGAAGATGCTAAGTTAGTTTAAGGAAATTACTGATATTAATTCAGCATTTAAATATCCCCCATAAATCTTTTAATAATGATAAAAATTAAATAGTGAATATTTTTTAAATGCCAATGGTGTAAAACCACTTGAATTTGATTCAATATTTATGATCTCTTAATGCTTTTGATTTTTTTTTTTAAATAATTCTTTTAAGCTAAAAAGAATGATATTTTTTATTATAGAAACTAATATTTCTTTTGTTTAGATATGTCACCGACTCCCCAGAGCCACTTTGCGCAGCAGGTGAATGCCGGCTACGAAATTCCCGCACGCCTCCGCACTCTGCACAACCTGGTGATCCAGTACGCGTCGCAAGGCAGGTACGAGGTTGCCGTCCCCCTGTGCAAGCAGGCCCTCGAAGACTTGGAGAAGACCAGCGGGCACGACCATCCGGACGTGGCCACCATGCTCAACATCCTGGCCCTCGTTTACCGAGATCAAAACAAGTACAAAGAGGCTGCTAACCTGCTGAATGACGCGCTTGCCATCAGGGAGAAGACCTTGGGCGAAAACCATCCGGCGGTATGATTGTTTTAAATCTGATAAAATGGAAGTTTTCAATGGAAATTTTTAAATTGCAGGTCGCGGCAACTTTGAACAATCTGGCTGTTCTTTACGGAAAGAGGGGAAAGTACAAGGAGGCTGAGCCTTTGTGCAAACGTGCCCTAGAGATAAGGGAAAAAGTTCTAGGGAAGGATCACCCAGATGTGGCCAAGCAGCTCAACAATCTTGCCCTCTTATGCCAAAACCAGGTGGGTGATTTTTTGTTTATTCGGGTTTATACATTTGGGGATGACGATTTATTGGCTTTTTATTTTACTCTTTCCTCTTTTTTTTTTTTATCTTTGCGATTGATGCCAGATAATTCCCCCTTCCTCAACTTGCACAAAAATTATCGAACTGCCGGTGAGACTTTGACAATTTTTGCGTTCACCATCACCTTGTAGGAAATTTCACAAGCTAGTTTCTCGCGCGCAAATTCATTTAAAATTTACCAAGACTCAATGCCAATTGTTCTGTGTTTGCGTAGGGAAAATATGAAGAGGTGGAGCGGTACTACCAGAGAGCCCTCGAGATCTACGAGAGCAAGCTAGGGCCCGACGATCCCAACGTAGCCAAAACCAAGAACAACCTTGCGTCCTGCTATTTGAAGCAAGGCAAATACAAAGAGGCTGAGATCCTGTACAAGCAGGTGCTTACCCGTGCCCACGAGAGAGAGTTCGGCGCCATTGACGGTAAGTGCCTTGGACCTGCTCACGCTGTCTGACAAAGACGAAATCCATTGTAAAAGCTCAAACCTCTGTGTAATTCAAAATTGGATCAATTCAGGGCTTTCTGTTTTACTTTGGATGCCAAAGACAATCTAATAATTAATAATTTGTGCTGCTTCCTAAATCATGTCAGTCTGAGAAAAATTTGCATGCCATTAGTTTATTAATTGTTATATTAGAACCAATTAATTTAAACCAGCCACAAAAATATTTAGTTCGGACCGATTTAAAGAAAACTGCTTCAGCCATTTCCCAAATTTTGGGACTGCCACTCTCTTAGAGCTTTCGGTGGATTTGTAAATACCCTCTTTTGTGTTTGTATGAGGAGCTGGTGGTGCTGAAATTGTCGAGATGGCTGCATGAGTTTTCAAGCAGGAGAGTTAACTAGCTTGAAAATTGTGTTCATTTTGCAGTCAACAGTCCAAAGTATGTGGGTGTGGGTTTCCGAAAGGCGTAATAAAAGTCTGCTGCTGTGGACCTCACCCTTGCAATCACCAACCCTGCGGCTGTCTTACCTTTTCCACACTCCAGTTGCTTGCGTTTCCGTTCATTCAGTAGTTATGAAGTTTTATGATGCTAGTTAGAGTTCATTTTTTGCACCGATTGATGAATTACTTTTGTCGATCATAGTTTATTTTAATTTTTACTTTCCAAAAATTCAACAAACTAATGCAATCATTTGCTTACTGTGCTCTCAAAAAATTTACTTATGTACAAAATTCCACGAGTTCTCATAATTTATTTTGTAAGTGGAGTTCACTGCTGTGTAATGAGCAAACTATTATTATTCGTTACTATTATTTATTTTCTGTTCTCAATTGTTTGTTCCTGAATTTAAAAATATATTAATTTTGTATATCACGTTTTTTTGTTTCATTTTGTACCTTTCTAGGATTTTAATTTGTAGACTTGTTGTAATATTTATTGACAATTTCGCTTGCAATCATAGCAGACCGCACACAATTTTCTTGCGCACTCTCTATTGCTTTTCACCCTGTATCATTTGAAAACTCAGTTCGACCATTGTGGCTGGTTCGTTTTTGTGGCTATGTGTGTTGCAAATCGCTGGTGTACTCTTTTGTACTTCATCAGTCATTGATGTGAAATCTGCCAGCCAGAAAACAAACTTCCGACTAGCATGTTAATTCTCAAAATTGAAAAGTGGCACTGTAAAAAAATTGTACTCAAATTTGGAATGCGGGGTGAAAGCTGACGACTTGTTTGCTCTGTTCATGCACTAGGTGATAACAAGCCCATCTGGCAAGTGGCTGAGGAGCGCGAGGAGAACAAGCACCGCAACAAGGAGAACGTTCCTTACGGCGAGTACGGCGGCTGGCACAAGGCAGCCAAAGTTGACTCGCCCACAGTCACCACCACCCTCAAGAACCTGGGCGCCCTTTACAGGCGGCAGGGCAAGTACGAGGCGGCCGAGACCTTGGAGGACTGCGCTCTCAGGTCAAGGAAAGAGGTCAGTGCAAAAATCACACAAAAATAAATTTATTATTGACTAAACTGTTCAATTCTTATAAAAAATTTGAATAATTTTCAGGCCCTTGACATTGTGAAGCAAGCCAAGGTGGCCCAGATCCTGGGTGGAGAGACTGTTGCTGAAAAGCGACGCAGCTCTGGCGCATCGTTAAGCAGCAGTATGACCGGTTCAATGGGTCACCGGAGGAGAGGGTCGAGGGAGAGTCTGGAAGCTGTACAATTCGAGGCTGGTTCCGAAGAGGTGAGCTTGGAAAATGTTTAAACTCAGCAGCTTTTTAAGTTGGTTAGATTCAGTTGATTTTTGGCACAACGTAGTTACTTGCACAAGTAAAGTCAAATTTATTTTTGAAATTTGCCATTAGAAAATTTGATTATTTTGGATTTAGTTTGAATTTCTTTAATTAAATTTGAGTTAATTTCAAGCTGCAGCTTTTGACTTTTTACTGATGATACATTGTTAGTCGGTTGCATACTTTTTTCTTAATGACTTGCATATTTGACGGTTGGTGCGCTGAGATTCTCTCGCCAATTTGTTTTCTTATCCCTGGAAATGCACGGCGGAAAAACTGCAGCAGTCGTTTAAACTTGTTCATATCTCAAAGATTAATTAGGGAGAGGCTATTGATACATTTTTTTGTATTCAGTTGACAAGGGTTGAATGTTGTTTTACAGCAGCAGCAGTCCCAAGTAGGCCCAAGAAGTGTCGCAGAGTCACCAGGCTCGGAAAGGGCTGGAATTAAATCCAAACTCTTTCATGTACTTGGAATCAATCGAGAATTCAACCCTTAAGCCCACTCGAACTTAATAGGCGCCTTATTATTAATAAATTGTTTCTAAAACTCTCGCCCTTTCATGTCAGTCTTTTGTAAAATGAGTGTTGATCATTCCGAATCGCAGAGCAAAAACAATATTATTCAATCTGGCATCGCAAAAGGCATAAAAATAGAGTGCATTTAACAAGGACAATAACGATTGGATCAAAAATTTCATGCATTTTTAGTGAATATCCACCTGTTTGATTAATTTTGTAGCTGAAACAAAAATCTCCATCACCATCTTATTTTATTTATTGAGCATCACAGATTTCTTATTTGTAAAAAGATAAAAATACGGATCTATTTAATTATCATTATTCTTGTAGTCTCACGGGTTGTAAATAATATTTTTTTTAGTTTTCTCTGATTAAGTTGATGAAAAACTGTTTACATAGGAGCCATTTATTACAGAGTTTTGGTGAGTGGCTGTGAAATACGCAAATTTATTATATATTCCCGTTTTGGTGGATTGTCAAGAAATTCTACTTAAAAATTTATATGAGAATGATTAAGTTACGAAATTGGTTCAGTTCAATATATTCACAGTTTACAATATTATTTTATGATAACTAATAGTGGCTAATTTTCTGTAAACACTTGAGAGAGTTGTAATGTTGTAATAAATTTTATTTATTTGAATTTATCAATACGATTTGTATTTATTTTTCTTCGACTTCTCTTGTTTTATGTGACGGAAAGTTGCATGTGAAAATGGATTTTTGTGAATCATTTTAAACCACTGGCTGCTGCAGTTTTCTCTCTGTCTTTTAATTAACATCGCCTCTCTATTTCTCTCCCCTCTGTTGACCGAACTCTTTGACTTTTCAGACTTTGGGTGACACTTTTTACTAATTACAATTGTATCTCATTTGTGTGGTTGACACTAATCTTGAGACAGTTCTGCAGGTTTTGGGCCGTTTGTTTCTGTTTTCACTTTCCAGCGTCTTTGCAGTTGCATGTCTAATCTGTGTGTGCTTTGCTTGAACTATGTGTTCACCTTCAACCAAATTCTGCCTTGAATCGTGCCCATGAATTGACAGTTAAATTTTTTTGATAAAACAAACAATCAAGTTTGAGGCAGATGAAAATTTACTGTAAATTTGCTTTGGACTCTTGAATGGTCTGAAAACATTGCCACTGTGCGATAATTTTAGTACGGCAATCTGAAGAGGAGCGCCTCCTTCTCGAAACTGCGCGCCTCAATCCGTAGAAGCAGTGCCAAACTGATGCAGAGGTTTACAAACCGATCCGTCGACTACAAAGACTCGATAGAAAATTACAACAACAGGTACGTCCACCCTGCATTCCATATCATATTTTTTTATCCAGCATGATTTTTAAACTCTCACCTCACAATTTTAAATTTTTAGTACAATTTTATTTCATTCACTGCTAGTTTGTATTGAAAATTTGCTAGATTTATTTTTATATATTTTTCCTTCCGCTAATATTCATTAATAAATCCAACACCACCTTTTGCTCAGCACTGTGTATAAAAAGCGTTGAGTACATATATTTCTCTCGATTCTGAAAAAGTAAATCCCATTGTTATTATTATTATTCCACATTCTTCTTCTCTATCTTTTCCTGACAATTGGCTCTTGAACTTTTCAAACTTGATGTAAAACTTAAGGTAAGAATCAAAAGTAGTAGTTTGCAATACGGCTCTGTCTGTCTAGCTCATTGGAAATTCATTTAAGGCTCCTCGATTCCAGGAAATGCACAATAAAAAAAGGTGCAAGAGAGCGGCTCATTTTAGAAATTACAAAATAATCCACGTCTGATTTTACAGTCTTTCTATTTATCTGCTGAGGTGCTGTTGAATTTAACAAATAATCTAGGTTAATTGAGACACACTAATTAATTAACCGACTAACTTTGAAATTGAAAAAATTCTGATTGAAAAATTTTGCTATCTTATTTTTTCAGCATGAAGCGCGCAAGTTCCCTGTCCGTTCTTAGTAATCAGTTAGCAGATCAGGTGTGTATTTTATTTAATAATTATTATTTATAAAAATTTTGCAGTATTTAAAATATTTAAATACTGGGTAATAAATTAAAATTATTTTTAACAAAAATTCCATTCTGGTCTAAAGGTTCCTGGAGAGAAAAAGATGTCACCAGCTGGCTTACGAGGCAGGACTGCAAGTTCTGAATATTTGCGAAGGCTTCAGGACCCATCATAGCGACTCCAAACCCAGCAGCTCTCTCTCATCATAAAACACACACTCTCTCTTTGAACTTTTCACTCGATTGACCCTCAGCCTGAATGGATTATTTAAGAATATCACAATTTTGTGTTGCAAAACGTTTTTCCTCAAAAGCGCTTCTTGCCAGCCTAGTTTGCCTGACGGAGAAGACTGGATTTAAAAAAAGAAAGAAATCAATGAAATTTAGGCTTTTGATCTTTGTTCAGTTGAAATAAAAATTATTTAAATAATCGAGGCTGTCCGTGCCATGTTCAAATCGCAAGTGTGGACATTTTGTATGTTTTTAAGTGTAAGGATGGAGTGAGTGGGTCGGGATGTGAAAATCTCAAGATTTTTGTGGTTACGGGATGCTGAATGCCTTACTTGATTTTTGCAACTTGGTTTCGCGCCTTCGTCACTAGTGGATAGACTGGAATGTGTATTTTTTTCTATAGCTTAGTTGCGAATATGCTTAACAAATTGCCGTCTCTTGCGCTTGAATAGCTGAGAGAAATCATTCATTCAGGCTCAGTGATACACGAAACGAAAATCTCAATTTTTCCGTTGAGTCACTCTGTAAAATGCACACATACAAAAAGGGCAGAATTATTTGAATCAAGGAAGAAGTAATTAAGTTAGTAAAATAGTTATATAAAACACACGCGCGCGTAAAACTTAATTAATACTTAAAAATTTTTATTTGTGTAAGGAACATTTTTGATTTCCTTGTGAATTTTCATTATATTATTTCTTTGTGATAATTATTTTCCTTTTTAATTTATAATTTCCCTGAGAAATGTCAGAATGACTGTTTTTAACGAAAAACCTAGGATTTTTTTATTATTAAATTGTAATTGAAATTTGATTCCGCAGCACTTTTGTGTTGATTTGATTCCGTGTTTGATGAAATCATACATAGCAGTCTGTATTTCATGATAGGTTTGTGTTCTGTTGACGCGGAAACGATTTATTATATTGTTTGAAAAGATGTGTTATTTTAAAATTTTAGCATTAATATGCATCTTGCTTAACGATAAATAAAAATAATGTCGATCAATGGCTACAAAGTGCTAAGCTTCAATAAATTTGTGAAACTGGAAACTCCTTTATTTTTAAATTACTCCCATCATAAATAATTCATATGAATTGCCAATTTTGAACAAGAATGAAATTTCATTGATTTGTTTATAAAAAAGAAAAAATAGTAATTAATCAAAATAAATAAGATATGATAGTTGATAATAAATGTTTATTATTGATTTTGTTATTTGCTTTGATGACAAAATAAATTTTAAAAATGACGTCGTTTGGTGACTGATGGGTGATTTTTTAGATCTTCTCTCAATGCTGACTAACGCGATAAATAGGTAAAAAAGGATGATCTCGGCGGTGCAAGTCAAGGCCTAGACCTTTGTGTCAGGTTTCCAGCCAGGCATGTTTAATTGGGAGGAGGACACATAAAACACGTAATCACTTCTTCTTCTTCTCCACCTGCCGAGGACCTTGCCTTTTGCCGGCGCTCATTTCTACTTCGGCTCTCGAACGAAATGCATCGGCACGTGATCGTTCTACTCTCGGCGTTTGCCGCTCTCGAGGCGCGCAGCGTCCCAGCCCTGCGCTCCTCGGACAGAACGCTCTACATTCGAAGCATACCTGAGGTCAAAGGGTACAATAGTCAGATTTATGAAGTTCTCATGACGCCATTATTCTCATCTAGAAAGGTAAGTGTGTATCAATTTTATTTTTTTTACTAAATAAATCATAATTTATTTTGTGGTAGACTTATAAAAATGAATTAATTTAATGAGCAAAATTAAATGTAAACAAGGCTCGACTTACTTTTTTAAATCAGTTTTATTTATTTAAAAAATTTATCTGCACGTAAATTAATTTCATGAATAATAATTTATCTAAATTTTTAATTCTAAACGATATCGAAAAGTAATTTTTTTTCTCAATATCACCTTATCTGGTAATGCTCAAACTTTATTTAATTATAATTTTTTTCACCTTAATTACTTAATTTAAATTGCGGTGTCGCGCTCAACTTCAACTTGAAGCTCAGTTGATCTTGTTAAATTTTATGGAAAAATGACATTTTTTATGGCATAATGATTTTTTTATATTTTTTTTTATTCAAATTATTTTTCGAAAATATTGAGGAAAGTGTGGTTTTACTGAAACTGCGCTTGTAAAAAGATAGATATTAATATAATTATTTAGAAGTTAAGAAATTCTATTGAACAAAAAAGCAATCTTTTTATGTATAAAAGTAAAATATTTACAGTTTCTTTTAATTGAATTTGTGCTTTCATATTTTAATGGTTTTTCTAATCATGCGAGTTTTATTTTGGTTTACTTTTTCCAGCAAAATTCTTAAAGCATGAACGCTGATTATCGATTTGAGCGTGACATCATAAGGCACTGCAGCCGCCGCTTTATTTTCGTGGCCATGAGGATATTCTTTTCCTCTTTTTCTCTCGGCAAAAATTCTTCTCTGTGTGTGTACCATAGATATAAAATACGCCGTGATGACATCATGCAGCATCATCCTTTCGTGCATTATTATTTCATACGCCGCGTCTCGTCGTTAATTTTCTAGCCGCTTGCTTATTATTATTTATATTTCTCCTTGAATTAAAATCAACGAATACTTTTCTCATTCGATTCGCACAAAAAATAAAAGCTGCTTGTTATTTGCACTGCGGTGCTCAATGCCAGTGTTAATTATATGTTTTTGTTAGGACGACTCGTCGCCGGCGGTGGCACCGCTCGGCAAAAAAGCTCTGGCCGTGCTGAGGTCGCCGAAAGACGAGGTGCACGGCGAAGTCGTCGTCAAGGAAGAAGCGGCAGGGAAGATGCAACTGCGCGCCGAGTTGCACGGACTCCCTTCGGGGCTCAACCTTGGTCTGTCGGTCCACGAGAATGGAGACTGCAGGAAATTGGGACCGGTCTTTAAGCCCGACCAGGTAATTAAGCTCAAAATTGACTTCTTAAAAGTATTTGTTGAAATAAAATCTGGCTTCCTCGGTGGAGATGAGCAACTTTATTGTTTTTGCATGGTACAGAAAATTCCTGCTCTACTAGTTTCGGTTGCGGGTTGCAACCCTAATTCATGAGCTGTTGAAATGAAACCTTCTTAAAATTAATTTTTGAATAAAAATAAACAATAAATAAGCACGATATGATAAGACAAAAGCGCTCTACTTGAAAACAAAAAATTGGATACGTTATTTCAATTTAAAAAAAAAAATTGACAGAGCAATAAATTTGTTGATCGCATGAAATGTGATAATATGTTCAAGCAATGTAATTTAAAATTCAAGGAAAACAGGAAAATAGTTTAAATATTTTAAAACAACTCCCCAAACTGTTTTTTTAATTATTTGAGAAGTTTTATTTTTATATCCTGGGATTTTTTTTAATATCTTCACTTTGAAATAACTTTAATATAAAATTTTATTGTTTTTGTGCGCAGCCTGCAAATGCGATTCCAAGCCCAGAAATTCCTGCCGGCTACTTGGGCTCCTTCCAGACCGACGACAGCGGCAAGCTAGAGATCGAATTGACTTTGGGTCCAAAACTGGCCCTCAGTGGCCACAGAAGTCTTCTCGCCAGGGGAATTTCCTTCCACGACATGAGCAAGAAGGATTCGTCCGTGGTCGCGTGCGGAGTTCTTGGCCGGGCGGCGCCGTCGCCGGAAGAAATGATTGCTGCTCGCAAACGGAGGCACCACTTCGGCCACAAATAATAAAAATATTTTTCAAGAAAAATACATTTAAGTTTTCATTGAATTTTTTTTTAAATCATTTTGTCAATGCTTTACTTTCGAAGATCGAAATGTCTATGATTATCGTTTATCGTTTAATTTAATTGTGAACTATGTAAAAACTAAAAAATGTAACAATTTCAAAAATAAATTGTTTCATGAGTAAATCAAGAAATAAAAAAATTGTGGAAAAGTAATTTTTTTTTTAAATTTTCATTACTTTATTCACTTTTTTATTTATCTTAATAAGATTCCAAATTTAAAAAAAAAAATAAATAAAATAAATAGATTTTACTTTAGATTGCAAACGAAGAAAAGTGAAAATTTCTGAAAATTTCTTTGATATATATGAACATCATCAATTTCTTATTATTTACCTCTAGTTAATTATTTTTATTTTTATAATAAAATGCAAATAAAGAATAAGAATTATAAATCAATTTAAAAGGAATTTAATTAAAATCAACCGCAGAATGGTTGATTTTTAATTTATTTCAAGTCTTTAAAATCACATTAAGTCAATATGTATTCTCAATCAGTCGGTAAAATTTTTAGCAAAAAAGACTCAGAATATGCTGTAAAATCAAAATTTGAAACAACGGTTCGCAAAGAATTTCCAACAATGAGCAGCGAACGGCTGGTTTGGCGCGCAAATCGGCCAAAAGTGGCCTGAAGATGTCTCTTCAGTCGCATTGTTTTGCTTTGAACTCGATTTTTCAATCGGCCGTCAGCTCGCCCTTCAATCGACTGAAAATCTCGGAATTGCGTCCTTGTCGTCGGTTTACAGCCGCAGATTGAATCACCACTGGCCCGAGCACCCTTGCCGCTTCACCCTTCAATGGTCGGCGACTTCTAAAAAATTCTCTCGCAGGTAAAATCAGCGCGAATTCGGTTGTCCGATCTGAAATTCCGATGGACAGGCCATCCTATTTTGATTTCTCTTCTTGTTCGGTGTCCAATTCACGTGGCCTTGAACGTGTTTTCAAATTGATTGGCAGGTTCGGCGAGAGAGGACGGCGGCCAGGATGATCACGTTGACCAAAATGCTGGGCAAGGACCGCACCTCGAGCGGACAGTCGACCAGGAGGGCCTCCGTCAGAGACAAATTATTGATCAAAGAAGTACTTCAAATTTATCTTACACATTTTCGTGCTACGAATTTATCTAATTACGCACAGTCAATCAATCCTAATATTCTCCTTCCTGAAAATAATTTTTTCAAGCAGATTTTAAAATTATTTTAGTTAAAACAGAATTATTCTTCTTTGATTTATTTCCATCATTTTGTAGATAAAAATAATAAGACTTGTAATTTTAATTTTAAGGTGCAGGAAATGGAGCTGCCGCCGACGTGCAAAACGCATTTCGAAGATCCGCAAAAGCTGTACGAATTCAATTTGACCGTCGCCCCAGACGAAGGTTTCTGGCAGGGCGGACACTTCAAGTTCCACATTTACGTCCCTGAAGAATACAATATGGCTGTAAGGCTTCAATTATCTGTCTGTTGTTTAACATTATTCATATTTTTACTCTTCTCGTCCAAGTCAAAACAATCACACGCTAGTTTCAAAATTCTAAGATAAGCTTAATGTATTTTTTTTTTAAGTAAAAAAGTAAAAACTTTTAATTAATGATTAGTTGTCAAATAAAATTTGACTATCAATGTTGAAAACCAAAGTTGCACTTAACATTTTACAACAATGAACCAAAATTTGAGAATTGTTGGTGCAAATTTTAAAGAATTTTTCATTTATTTTTTATTTATAGTGATTTTTAGATGCGCCATCCTTGATAAAAAATCTCTGAGAGAAATGTAATTTTTTTATTCCAAAAGTGTACATAATTAACCACATAACCGAATATGGGATATTTTTTCTAAATTCAGGAATTAATTCTTACTTATTAATTTAATTTAATTATAATTTAACATTGACATTATTAAACAAGATATAATTTTCAATCTCTACAAATTAATTATTATCAATTATTTTATTTTTTCAGCCGCCAAAAGTGAAATGCTTAACCAAATTGTGGCACCCAAACATCAGTGTGGACGGTGAAATTTGCCTCAGCCTTCTGCGGCAAAGTTCGATCGACGGCCTTGGCTGGGCGCCAACACGCAGATTGAAAGACGTCGTCTGGGGCCTCAATTCTCTGTTCACTGTAAACATCAACAATTGAATCGACATTAGATCGAATTTAATAAAAACTCATTTTGCAGGATTTGTTAAATTTTGAGGATCCCTTGAACATCGAAGCGGCTGAGCTGTACGTTAGAGACAAGGAGGCGTTTCGCATCAAGGCGAAGGAATATGTGAATAACTACGCCCGGCGGTAGGAGAGGCCAACTTAGTGCCCAGAAATGCCAAATAAGGACAGGAGTGAATCAAGACTTGATCGTTAAGTTGCTGCCACAACTGCAAATTTAGTGGTGATTTTTATACATGTCAAAGTGAAGCTTTCTCAATTACGATTAAGTCGCAGTTATATATTTGTTGTTCAGACAATTTCAAGTCAGTGATTGATAAACTTTGATTTTTATGTGTTTGCCCGTTTATATGCCACAATGATAATGACCTATAAGTAAAATTGTTTCACCAATTTCTATTTCAAAACTGGTGTATTTTCTATTTGATTTTAGTTTTTACGGACAAGAATAATTTAATTATTTATGAAATCTTTCCCTAACTGGGAATTAAATTCCTAAAGAAAGTTTAAACCGATGAAATTATGTAGAATTCCTTTGATAATAATTATAAATTTAACTGTGTTGAAAAAGAGAGTACTTCGAAATTTCTTACCACTTTTGAGAGAATTGAAGCCAAGCATCAATGTCATTTTTGTTTGTTGTCAAGCAGAGGAGTTGTTCACAAACTAAAAAAATCATGCCAATATTGACCCTAAAGGGCAGTTAAAAAATTGGAGGAAAATTTGAAGATTGAAGCACAAAAGATAAATCTTTTGATGACAAAATTACAATGACAAATTTAAAAAAATAAATATTAAATTTAAAGAAATTATTTGTGTGATTATTTTTCTCTTTATTTATTATTATTTTAAGAAGTCATTTCATATCAACAAAATTTGATCGTTCAGCTTTTTATGAATCATAATGATATTTTTTGTCTTTTAATGTTATTGAACTGCGGAAAATCAATCATTCTTTTACTTCTGGTGATACTGAATACATAATTATTACGTCAATCAAAATTTATGGTGCGAGTTTTGGGTGAAAGAACTTTCAAAGCGCGGTTACATGTGTTCGGCTTTCTGAGGCCAAGTTCATGTCACGGCCCTCAATTGTCTTTTTTAGCCCCCCAAAGTCAAGGCGACAATGTCAAGAGGGCAGCCAGGGGTTATCACTATAGAAGTGACTGCTTCCAGACTAGACGGTCCTTCTTAAAATATTTCATTCACCAACTCGCTTTATTCCAAACTGCCTCTGCTGACAAATCACCACCACCATGTTTTCGCTCATGCAAAAAGTAAGCACGTGATCAAATAATGAAACGTTTTTTTTTCGATATACAAATCAATATTTGTATAAGAATAATTTTATTCAGGTCTCACGTTGCGGCACGCGTTTAGCAAAAAACGCGCGCCTGCTCACTACGGTTACTCCACCAAGGGATAGATCTCGAGAGCAGGTAATAATTTTTTTAATAAATTAAATTAAAACTGAATTAAGTTGGAGCTGAGTTTACACCTTTTTTATGTTTCGACTGCGAGCTGCGATTAATTTTTGACAAAAATCAACACCACAAAATATGTTCCTAGTTAGATTAGTCATTAATATTATATCTTCTTTTTATAGTAAAAGTCTGTTAGCTGATTATATTTTTTTTTTTATAATTTTAAACTTATATTTTAGTAAATTGATGAAATACAGCGGAGTTTCATCTTTACAAATTTGTACCAATTTTTTTTTTTTTTTTTTTTTTATTTTGTTTTATTTAAACTGATTTAAAATTTAAAATGAATTAACAAACAAAAATGTCTTCTGGTGAGACCAAATATTGAATCCTGAAAAAAGAAAGTGACAAATTTGCAGCAAGTCCAAGAACAGCAGCAGCGGAACGCCGAGGCCGGACACCTCACAGAGTTGGTGCGCGACTTTCTCGACCCTGGCGAATTTTATCAAGCCGTCAGAGACATCGGAATAGACTTTTTCTGCGGAGTGCCCGACTCTCTATTGAAAGGTAGTTGTAACAAAATTGGAAAATATTTGATATATAAAGAAAAGAAAAACAGATTTTTGTGCTTATGTGACCGGCAATGTTCCGTCGTCCAACCACATCATCGCCGCCAATGAAGGAAATGCCGTCGGCATTGCTGCCGGCTACCACCTTGCTACTGGAAAATCTGCTATGGTTTACTTGCAAGTACGACATTTTCTAATTTAAATTTTACTAATCAAGTCAATAAGAAACAACTAAATTTTGTTTTTAAAATCCTACAAGTAAATTTGAAACTGGGCATGAGAGGTGCTTTTTAATAAAAGGGAGAATTTTCGGGCTGTAATTTTATTGATTAAATTCAAAGATTAAGCAAAGATGTCTCAAAAACGTTAAAATCTGTATAACTATCTTAATTAAATAGACTTAAGTTGTAAAAGAAACCCAGAGAAAAAATACGAAGAATTCAATTTCAATTTTTTCTATTTAATAGTGTCTAAATATTTATTTAAAAATCTAATATAGGCTAATATGAAACTAACAATAAAATTTGTGTAGAATTCTGGTTTGGGAAACACGGTGAATCCGCTGGTGTCGATGACTTCAAGAGAAGTGTACAGCATGCCGCTGCTCCTTCTGGTCGGTTGGCGCGGCGAGCCCGGAAAACGTGACGAGCCGCAGCACCTTTTGCAGGGCCAAGTCACACCAGGACTCTTGGGTGCGTTGGCAAAGTGATAAAAAATTATTAATTTAATAATTTAAAAAAAACCAGCGGCCCTCGGAATTCCTTTCCAGTCGCTTCCCGACTACATCGAAGGCGCCCGCGACGCGCTTTACACGGCCAAAAAACACTTGCAGCACAACAACAGCGCCTACTGCCTGCTTGTCAAGAGACAAACTTTCCTGCCACACTTGCTCGCACCACCAGAATCCAAGTAAAATAATAATAAAAAAAATTAATCTCCAAATCAAAATTTGAATAATGAATTATATAATATTTAAAAAAAATGGAAACCAAGAAAAAACTCTAAAATTTGATACCTTATTTTTATTTAATTTATAAATTTTATAATTGCAATTTTTTAACCCCCCCTCTAATCCTATATTAATGAATATCTAATTAATGACACAAGAAATCCATTTTTTTTCTCTTTATTTCCATTTATTCAAAAATGGAATTCACCTTGATTGAGAACTGTAAATTTTATTCGTCAGGTATCAGCTAAAGAGAGAAGACGCCGTCAAACTGGTCGTTGCAAATTTGAAAGACAGGGACGTGGTGGTTTCGACAACAGGAATGCTCTCTCGAGAGTTGTTCGAGTTCAGGAAGTCCGCAGGACAGGGACACGAGCGCGACTTTTTGACTGTGGGCTCCATGGGACATGTTTCGTGCATCGCTCTTGGCATCGCAATTCAGAGGCCAAAAAGACAGGTACATAGGAATTAAAGTTTTTATTTATTTAAATTCTTCTATCATTTAATATCAAAAGGATCGACTTAAATTATAAATATAGAAAAAATTACTTATTTTGAACAGTTAAAAAAACTACATGTATTCGTTCATAATTTGTACTACCAGAAATTAGGAATTTGACTTGATTTTTTTTTAAATTCTCATTTATTACAGCACTTTTTTATTAATTCCTGTGCCAAAGTTGCCTAAACGTAATTGATATTTGCCATTTATTTCGAAGTATTAAAAATATGAAATGATGAGTCTGGTTATTCCATAGGTTTTCTGTATTGATGGAGATGGCAGTGTGATTATGCACATGGGCGCTCTGGCTGTGATCGGACAAACAGAACCTCAAAACTACAAACACATAATAATCAACAACGGAACCCACGATTCCGTCGGTGGCCAACCGTCCGCCGCCTTGGATGAAACAAGATTTCAGCTGCCCAAACTAGCCGTTGCTTGTGGCTACAAGGAGGCAATATATTTTTTTTTTTCATTTTTAAGATTATATTTTAAAAACGTTTAATTAGGCCAGAACGGCGGTGACACCTGAGGAAATCAAGGCTGGCGTCGACTGGCTGCATTCGACGAAGGGTCCGATCGCCCTCGAAATCAAAGTGGCTTCCGGAAGCCGAAAAAACTTGGGTCGCCCGACGAGGACGCCGATCCAGAACAAAAACGATTTCATGCACTTCTTGGCGCTCAGTTAAAAATAAGTTGGAAAAAAACTTTCTTTTACTCCAACCACCGTAAACGATACCTCATTCAATTAATGTGCAGCAACCGTGATGCCTCAATTTCAGTCTCTTGCGACGAGACGGGCGCGGCAAATGTGTATTATTTACTCGTTAAGGCCACCTTTGATCAACCACCTTTGTCTGCACATCTTGAAATAAAATATAATAACTAAAAGATGGGCGTTACTCTGCAGCAAAAAAAAATCACGTTTAAATATGAATCGAGGAAGATTTTATTTCACTTAACTTGAATAATAATTTTTATAAATGCGTATTAATAACAGAAATTATTGCGAAATTCAACTGGAACTGGAATATAAATCTTATCAAAATATCAACTGCGCCAAATTTAACTAACCTTATTTTAATTGAGAACTTGCTAATTAAATATCAAATGAGTATCAAGGCAACTGGATGATATAGGATAAGTACAGTTTCAAAACAACCTTTATTTGCTGGCCAGAGAGCTGGCGGTGGAGGAAACCATCGAGTGCAGCTGGGCCGGCTCCACCGTCAACACGGAGTAGAAATCGTTCATCCTGAGGTAGTCGCACAAATCCTGAAGGTCGCTCTGGTAGCCTCTTGACGCCAACTTGGACAGATTCTTGGCAAGCAAATTGGTTCGTTCGTGGTACTTCTTGTGCTCCTGGGACAAGTTCTTGAACTGAGGGTGCGAATACACTCCATTCTGTAAAATAAAAAGTTTTAAGTCCGAGGTCAGAAAGCAATTGGAAAAATTTAAAAATTGGAAGTAAACATAAAATTTTTAATATTTTGTTGGTTGAAGTGGTAAAAACTTGATGATGAATAATTGGGCAATTTGTTGCAAAAAACAAAAAACAGATCAAATAAATATTCTAAGAAAATTATTTTTCATTACAGTTCTTTATCAATGTAAATTGTTTTTCTCTCATGAAAACAAAGCTGATTTTTTATAGCTGAAAATAGTCTAGCTTTCTTTGTGCTATTTAAATTTAGCAACTTTCCCAATAAGGTTCACCATTTATCATTAAATTTGAAATTCTCAACAAAACTTTTATGACATTAAAATAAATTAAAAATTTTAGTCCGAAGCAAGTTCTTTGAGAGACGTTAAAAAATTTTAACTACAAAAAGGTAAATAGATTGAAGGTTTGAATTTTTATATGATGAAGTCCTACTTTAAGCTGCCATTCATGAGCAGTAATGAGGGTGTAGAAGCGCAGTACAGGTCGGATGGTGGCGTTGAGCAGCTCTTGAATCTGGGCGGCCTCCTTGCGCAGCAGACAGCGGTAGATGACGCTCTTGACGAACATCTTGTAGTGCACCTCGTAGAGGCCGTCCAGGTTGGTCACCTTCTTGATGGCCTCCTCGCACTTGGGCCACTGCTGCACGACGGCCACGTTGAGGATGTACGAGTGGAAGGCCTTGAAGAAGGCGCTCATCTCGAACAGGTGCAGACACAGCGTGCGGTGCTGCGGACTGTTGTTGAGGACCTTCTTGTTCACCGCGGCGTCGCACGTTTTCAGGTGGCGGAACGTCTGGTCCAACACCCACACCACCCTGCGCAGACTCAGCGCAAACGTGAACAGCTGGTCGTAGTGCTGCATGACGGACCTGGTGAGGACGCTGTTCAGCGGCCAGCTCACCTCGTACTGCAGTTGGATGCAGCCCAGCAGATTCGCGTCGGAAACGTTGAACTTTTGCGGAACGGACCGGAAACTGAGGGACAGCCGTTCCTTATTCGGGTCCTCGGAACCGACGAGGGCGTTCTGCAGGATGCAGTTCATGGAGGGGAAGTTGAGGAGCGACTGAGGATGGTCCTTGAACTGCTCGATGTCGGAGCAGAGATTCGAGGTCAGTCTCGAGGCGAATTCTCCGTCCAGAAGGAGGAAGAAGTTTCGGAGAGACTTGAAGTGGCTCAGGATGGACTGGTCGTGCAAAAATATGTGCAAAACGTACTGGTTGGCCAGACGAACTTGGGTGTTGAGAACGACGGACGCCGTCTGTCGCAGACAGCTGTTTTTGATGTAGTTGCTGCAGTCGGTGCTGTTCTCCTTGATGGACTGGTTGATGCTTTCCCTACTCACAGCATGAGTCCATCGGAGAGGCTCCGAAATGGCCGAGAGAACACTGCTGACCGAAAAGTTGCTGGCAGACGCTGGAATGGGTTTCGATGGGAGTTCTACCGGAGTCGGACATGTACTCTCTTCAGGACTGATGGACATTGCTGAAGGTTGATTTTCCGAGTCTGGAGTATTTTGTTCTTCGGTGGAGAGGAGCATTTCGGACGAGGACACCATTTCCTCAGATGCGACTGGAGAGGCGTCTTGTAATTTATTGTCTATCAAAACAACCTCTTCTTTTTTGATGTTGTCGATTTGGTCAAAGTCCGAGAAAAACTCGTGGTGCATGACTCGCGCCTTATTTCTGGCTGCTTCGCTGGCTCTACTTTTGAACATGTCCCCGAGTTCTTGATTATCCGGCGTGACAACAGATTTTTTACTCATTTGAATTGAATCAACTTCGTCGTAGTTTTGAATTAGGTTGTACTCGTGACTCAAGACTTTTGCTTTGTTTTTGGCTGCTTCTATTGCTGCCGTGTTGTCCAGAATCGGCGATTCAACCTTTTCAGCCTCTTCGTGGACATACTTTAAAGGTAAACTAGTTGGAACTTTTCTCGGGCTCAAATTTGCATTGGTATCAGATTCAATTTCAGTAATTTGGTCCCCGGAAATTGATACCGATGAAGGATTTTTGTTTTCATCCTCTTCGATAGCCTTGTTGTCAATGACCTGCTCTGGCTCCTCAGGTTGCTGCTCTAAACGGACACTGCCGTTTAGGTTGTCCAGTTCCTCTCTCAGAACTTGAATTTCCGCTTCGGCAGTGGCAAGTTTGTCCTCTGGCACTTTGCTGTACATCTCGTAATGACGTCTCATTCTTGCTCTGAAAAAAGTTATTTATAAAAGCCGTTGGGTTAATTCAGTCTTAAATTAATCACTTTTCCTCCTCGAGGAGTTTGAGCTGCTTTTCCTGTAACTCCTTCAGCTCCTGCCCAAACTTCTCTTCCTCTTCCCGCTCCTTCCTCAAATCATCAGCTTTACGAGCTTTGGCGTCTTCAATTTGTTTCATCAGTTCTTGTTTCAGCTTCCGTATTTTCTCCGCCTTTTCTTCTCTTTCTTTTTTTAAAGTAGCTAAAATTTAATCAAATTGTTGTTGAAAAAATGCATCAAAAGACAACATACAACTGACCTCGTATTTCCACCAGTTTCTCTTCGCGCACTCTGGCAACCATGGCAAGGAATGCCTGTTGCTGCTCCTGGTTTATTTCCAACTGCTCTGCTGCTGTCACTGGTGCACCACAAACTTCAAGAGCTTCTTTTTCATACAAGGAACATTGCGTCTCTAGTCGGGCAAGCTCGGCATCATTCAAACAGCAAACTACGGGCGGCCTATTTTTCAGTTTGAACAGAGGATGCTGAAAATTTTGGAATGAAAAATATATAAATAAATTATCAATTTAGAAAAACAATAGAAAGTCACTTAAAAATTAAATTACATTGTTCTGGTAGAGTTTCAAGAACGACAGGGCTATTCCACATTGCTTGATCGAGGTTTCAAGCCCCTTCAGAAAACTGGGCACACGATTCTCCAAAACCACAAAAGAGTCGGCCCAAAACGTTCTGTCCCTTCGTAACAGGACTCCTGGTTGCGACTGGATCATGAATTCGGATTTTTTGTCCTGAGGCAAATCTCCTTCAAAAATCCACGCCCACAGTATTCTGCAGAATAAAATCAAATAAATAATTATTGTTCCATTTTAACTTTAAAATTACCTAAGATAAGCTTCAGCAGCTGCTTTGAGCAGCGAGTTAAAAACGCTGGCCGTGCGTCCCGGAATGATTTCCGAGCAGATTTTACTGAGCTCTTCAAGCGCCGCCAGTCCTTTCAGTCTTTTGCCAGAAGCTGGGCAACAAAAGGCAGACACCGCAACTACAGGAGGCCCGATCCAGTGCATCGAGTTGATAAGGGCCAACACCCTGTCATCATGGTGGCTGACTAAGTTTGAAACGCACTTTCTATGCACTACAAGAAGGGTTCTAACTGCCTTTTGAACAGCCTGAAAACAAAATTTCAATTTAAAATAACGATTTCCGTTTAGTTTAAGACATTTACCTGCAAAATCCTGCTCCTTTCTAGAGTATTTTCTACAAAATAGTTCAGCAGAAGGTGACTAGTTCCACATGCAATCAATGGTTTGACCATTTCAGCAATCGCTTGAGGACTCATTCCAACAACTCGCACATCGTTAGAAAGAGCAAAACTCTTTCTTTCCTGTAGAAAAATTTAGAGTTTTGTTAAATAATCGATTAAACTGTTTATTTTTGTACCTGGCAGAAATAAAAGCTGTCCGACTGAATTCCTATCAGCAAGTAGCCCAAGTGGGACACAAATTCCTTCCTGCTGATTTGCCATTTCAGTGGCTTGATGTGACTGATGTCTGTCAAATGTGGCTTCTCGGGAGGCGGCGCAATTTGGCCTAGCTGCTCCCACGTTCTATGTCTAGGCGGTGGACCTAATTTTGCTACTGCTTCCCAGTCTATCTCTGATTCCTCACTAGAATCATAACCTAAGTCTTTGTGCTCCTTTGTCTTGACAACCTCTTTTCTAAAATGCAAGGAAATCGATTAACAAGAATTCTTAAAATTAGATTTTTTTTACTTTTTGAGTTTTAAAAACTTTGATGCTGTAGGTAGATTTGTGCCGGGTTCAGCGTTGAAGTCAAAGTCCTTCCAGCTGCGGTAGAATTCTTTGTCCTTACCAGGACAGGGCGGTTGGGAAAATAATGAGCCGTCCAGCATCTCTTGAGGACAGTGAAAAATTCCAACCCCTTTCCGTTTTCCTGATTCATTGGGTGAATCTTTTTTATCTACTTTCCGTCCCATGAGAGCCAGGAACTGGACAATTTCCCTTCCATTCTCGACAGTGGAAAGCTGGGCGATGAGGCTTAGAAGACGATTCGTGGTCTGCTCGTTGTGATTGGCGTTTTTGATGCACATCGTGAGAATTTCATCTCCGTATAGATCTGCAGCAAAACGGGAAAATAAGTATTTTATTCTCAAAAGATAATCCCATAAAAAGATTAACAAAAATATTAATACATTCAATTAAAAATAGAATAATAAGATACATTTTTAAGAAAATTTTAGTAAAATTTTAAAAGATTAAATAAATAAGAAAACAATTTAATCTTTATTTTTTTTTGTAAGTTTTGGAAGTTCAAAATCTCAAAATAATAAAACTACGCAATATTTCCAATCATGAAAGATTCTCACCCTGATTGCTCCTTTTCGACAAAAGTTTCTCGTAAACCTGCAGGTGGGTGATTTTGGCCTCATCGCTGGCCTTTCTTTTCTTGGTCAAGCAGCTCGCCAAACTCTTGGTCAGCTCGAGGATGCTTTTTTGCGAAAGAATGTCGAGGGTCTCCTGCGACTCGGCGTGCGCTCGCAATGACATTTTGCATTCGACTGATCTTCTCTGGCTGGATGGGGCTTGGATTTTCCGCTCGGTGCTCACGACATTTTCCTTCGCTTCACGCAGGCTTGGTTTGCATCCCCGCAAGATGCAGTCGACATGGAAAGGTGCGTTATTTCACTACAAACTTGCAAAATTGCTACTCTCAGCAGCCGCGATTATCAATTTCTATTTTGGAGCCAAAATCAATTTTGATTCGAGTCCAAGTCCAGATGGCACTGGCGTCCGTGGTGCAGAAAATGGGCGTGGCCGTGGCCAAAATCAAAACAAATAAATAAATTTTGAGTGAAAATGACAGGAAGCGGCATGGAGTGGCCCTGGCAATATGATTTTCCACCCTTTTTCACGTAAGATTTTGCCAAATTTATTACAGATTTTGAAAAATGAAACAAATTTTCCTCATTAAAAAAAATTAACGTTTTGTTTTTCTTTTGCAACACTAGGCAATATGTAAAATGTTAAATAATGACATTTTATGGGATTTGAAAGCAATAAAATTATTTTATTTTGATTATAACTTATGAAATTCTCATTATGTATCATTTAAATTAAATTTATAGTATCCAGCCTCATTCTGAGACAAGAGCAAAGCAACTTTTGGCGTGGCGCAGCTTGGTGTTGGATTACTTTAAGCAGACAAAGGAGAGCGTCCTGGACGTGCGAGAAGTGCAAAACACTCCTCTTTTCTTCAATTCCAAAATCAACCGGAAACTGCCTCAGGAAGGAGTCATGATGATCTTGGCAGATTTGCAAACGACTGGAAATGCAGAGCCGTTGGATAAAACAAAGAATAGGTTAAAACAAAAATATACCAAATATTTTGACAGACATTAAAAAAAAAACATCTTTAGGTGGTTAATATTTTGGAGGACTCCAGAGGAATGGGGAAAACTTTTGTACAATTGGGCTCAGTCGAGAGGAATGACAAATTCAGTTTGTACTTTATTCGAGCTCGTCGCTGGGGACGATACAACAGATGAAGGTTAAGCAAATTAAATAAAAAATTAAATATTGTTCAATTTTTTGTTTTTTGATTCCAGAATTTTATGGCCTTGATATGGATGTTGTTGTTAAAGCTATTCGAACGCTGGAGATGGAAAAGAAGGCTGAAATCATGATGTTTGACGACAGTCATGGCGTCAAATTTTTTTAAATTGAAAAAATCCACTATATACTGTGATTATATAATAATCGTGCTATACCCTCTGCAGTTTTCAAATGTTTATTATTTAAGTTAATAAAAGTGCTTTAAGAACTGTAAATCAATCACATAAACAACCTTGTTTAATTGTTTTGAGATATATTGAAATTTTATTTTCAAATTACCAAGTCTTCAATAACTTGAATTACAAACATCTTGCTCTCTTCTCTTCACCATGGTAGCCACACATTTTTCAGCTATTTTTTTATTTTCAAAAATGCAACTAAACTGATCTTCTCCAACTAAAATTCAATTTTGGGCAAATAGCAAAAAAACTGGCTAATCATTTTCACAAAATTTGTACACGCAACCCGAAAGCACGTAGCAATTTTGACGCAACAGCCAAAAGGGATTAATAATTGTCGTGCTGATGTTTATTTTTATACAGACTCTGGGGAAGCAAATAAGAATGAAGAGTTTTTCAGAGAAAGTGATTAAAACCGTTGAAGCTATTTTGGTCTGCAATAATTAGACTTGGAAAATGGGTAATTTTCAAACATTAGATTAAGTTCTACAATCAAAATTCAATTGATCATTTTTTTTTCAACAAATTCAATGTTGATAAAGGAGCTTTACAAAATAAATTGCGCCTCCGCAATAGGAAGTTTGTTACATAATCCTCAATATTAATCCCCCAAGCAGTTTTTGATTAGAAAAATTAAAAACATAAGAGACTACTTTGCGCAACAAAGGTCAAAAATGTATCTTGGCTATTTGATTATTGATTACAAAAAGCAAACGAAAGCGTTAAAAAGAGCACCTCTTGCGGGCCCACAGGAAAAACGAACGAGACTTGCTTCCAATATCTACTAAAGTAAAATCAAACACTTGCAAGTGTTGAAAAAAATGGACCCCTCTGGTGGTAACATCTGATTATTGTTTTTTGTTTGGTTTCAACTGTTAGGCACTCGTAGTTCTACGGACGTCCTGCTACTGGTTACGAGAGGGGATCTTGCTCGACGACAATGACCGGACTGACTTCCACCACGGGCACGATGCCGTTCTGAGTGAGCTGGTTGTGCAGGGCCATCTTGTCCCGGCGAAGCTCCTCGTTCTGCTGCCGCAATGCCTCCACCTGCATTGCGAGTCTCTCGCTCTCTTTCACATTCTCCGACATTCGCTGGTTGATTGTCCGCAAATCTTGGATATAGTCACATGCCTTGGCCAGAATGCCTCCCTTGCTCTAAACAAATACGGAAATTAAAATAAGGTTTGAATTTCCACAGGTCGGATCATGTTAAAAAGCTGTCCATGCAAGAAAAAAATTCTAGTTTAAAATCTACGAATTTGCAAAAATTGAAGGAGGTTAAATCAAAATAAAGCAGGTTACCAAAATCCAACTGAAAAATCCATCACATTCCTAGGACTTAAAATTTACATCACCTGGCCTTCGAAACTAACTTGTCCTTGCTTTCCACTCTCGTTCCCGCAGTCAGGAATGATTTTGCCCAGCTTCATGATCCAGTTGTTAATTTTATCTCTCCTTCGTCTTTCCACTTCATTATGTGTTGCCCTTCTTCTCTCATCACGTCTCTACAAAAGAACAAAAACTCAGTATTTTCCCATAAAATGTAAAAATCTTGAGCAGATCTTGATAAAAAATTACTTAAGAAAATTTCTATTAAATTGATTTTCAGTTTTTATGAATACATGTCAAATTTATAATCAGTATTAAAATAAATTTTTTGAAATTCCATTTCAAATTCCTAACCTAAACAATCAACAATTTAGGACTGATTTTAGGTTCAACTGAAGCTGCGAAATTCAACCTTAAAAAGTGTCAAATTCTTCATTCCTCACCGTAGATCCTCTGACGGTTTCACTCTGGTTTCTAGGCGCAATGTTTCTAGTATTCGTCCCGGTGAACACTTCCTGCGGAGATCCAATCACATAGAACTGGCCGTTGATGGGCGACGTGAGCACCGCCTGCACCCCCGACGCCGACGCTCCGGTTGTGAAATTGGTGGTCGGATGAATGATCTGCGAGATGTTGTCAATCTCCTCTCCGACGCTGGAACTTGGCGTTGACACGTGCACCACACGATAAGTCACAGTGCCGGACGAGTCTGCAAAACAAAGTAAAATCAATAAGAAGAAAACTTTTGTTTGTTTGTTTTCATGCTGAATTTTAAACTTGTGAAGCATGCTGGTGATTTGCAGGATTTTTTTTTGTAAAAGAGAGAACGAAATACGTAGAAAGCTGTGGGGACTGTGGCTCCGGAAGTTGAGAAGATTTTCCAACCAGAGAGAGCACGTCCGGGATTGAAGAAATTAAACAAGGACAAAATCAACCAACTGAAGTCTGCTAGGAACGAAACAAACCCAAATTAACTTTCTAATTTAACAAATTTAAATAGAAAAGAAGAACTTTGATGAGGACTGAAATTTCTGGCGAATTTATTAGATTTTGTAAGCAAAAGGCAATTTATTTCATCTCCGGTAAATGTTAATTTAAAAAAAGATTAGTGGCCCAGAGCAAAGCAATTCACCAAAATTTTCCTGTGCTACTATTTTTGTTCTGATCTTGAGGACTGACAGTTGAAATAATTTTAAGCAAAACCTTCTTTCTATCCACCAAAAGCTAAAAACAAAACAAATTGCGACAGGCGTGAATTTTGCAATTATTAATATTTTTTTTAGAAAGGTTGAGGACCGACCTCCGGACCCTTCAGCCTTGTACTCGAACGAGTCATTGTCAACAATGGTGTCCATGGCCGTGGTGGCCGCCGGCTGCAGAATCACATTCCTGCGCGTTTGGCGCTGCGGCCGCTTGGCCACGACCCGCTGGATGACGGCCGTGGCCGCCTCCTCCTCGTCCTCGGCCACAATGTTCAGATCCCCGTCCACCACCAAACACGTCTCGGCGGCCACCATCGCGGCCGCCTCCGAGGCTGTCGGCGAATCACACTCACCCTCTTTCTGATCGCCTCTGAAACCACAAAAAAAGAGTAAAATTAAAATTACATTTCGCAAGAAATGAGAGGAATAAATTTTACAAATCGAGAGAATTTTTTTGAAGAATATAACTCGTTAATTTTTCGTTTGGCCAATTTATAAAAAAAAAATCTGACATTATTAAAAAAAAAGTTTAGATATAAAATTAAAAATTATTAATAATAAATTAAATATTGTCAAGAGAACCTTATTAAAATTATTTATGGAAAAGCAATTTTTATTTTTTTAAAACAATTTTGATTTTTTTTCTTTAGAATTTTAAACTTAAGCCATTACAAATTCAAACAGAGACGGCTACAAATTATATTTATGTGTGTCAGTTACTTTTGTTATATCATTGAACCCATTGAATGTAATAATAGGGCTTCTTCGTCTCAATGCAACTTTTCGATAATTGGATATAATTGAGAAACTTTTCACTCGAGTTATGGATTTTCTCAGGAAATCCCTAAATCAATATTGCTTCGAACTGGCGATTTAAAAAAAATTAGATTTAGTCAATAAAAATTTTGGTAGAAAAGTAAATTCCGCGATTTTCCACCCACAGCGGGAAGCCCGAAGGACACCACCGAGGTCTGAGAAAAGGGTCTACGGAGGTGTCGTCAGGGTGTATGTCTGGGTGGTTGGCGATGGCGACGCCCCGAGGGGCGTCTGGAGGCCGTCGGGGGTCACTCACCCGGCGTCCAACTGGTCCATCATGTCCATGGCTACGGGTTGGTGTCGTTCGAATTTGAATTTGCCAGGAAAGCTGCTCGGGTGATCACGGGGACAAACAACAGGTCATGTGAGCTGGTGCGACGTAATGGCTGGCTGGACTGGATTTCGGGGAGAGGGAGGAAGGAGGGGCCACTTTCGGCCCTTCGCAGGCCCACCGCCGACGCCTCGCCACTCCTGCACGCTCCCGCACTCGGCCCGCGGCTCCCGCGAACCCTGCTGACTAGGCCGAAGGGCGAAAAAGGGTCGCGAGGCGCAATTTCCTCCTGGAGGTCAGCTGAATGTGAAAAATCGCAACTCCCCCCGTTGCGGCTCCGTCGCGCACAGATGGCGCCACCGTCAGCCTAATGGCGCGAAATCTTGGATTCAGAATTTTTTTTTTTTTACATTTTTCCCATTTTTCTAATTTTGTCTGATCATCACTGATCATGAAATCGTGATGATTATGATGTTATGATTATCAAGCAGAGATATTTATATAGCTCCTGAGAAGTCCTTAAAAAAATGATAATTATATTTATATAGAAACCTTTTTTTTTAATATATGAAACTCTGATTAATGTAACAATTTAAAAATATTTTAATTAATATTCTAATTTTTTTTTCATTTCTCTTGGCGTTATGTTTATGCACATTATTATTCTTATATTATTAAAATAAATTAAAATATTTCATTCATTTTTAAAATTACAAATTAATTTAATAATCAAGGTAATATAAAATGCAGTTCAATTAAAAAATATCAAAGCTCAGGCTCACTGCGGCAGATGGCGGATGGGGTCTCTTTGATCTCGGGATTTTTAACAAAATTCTTGTTACTGGTGGTGCCGTTTTGTCCAAAAATTCCTCTCTTATCAAAAAATTGTTGTCAACAACAGCAATTGAATGTTAAAAATTGTGAGGTAACAATTTGGAAAAATTAACAACAATAAATAAATATTTTTAATTACAGAAAAATTATCGAAGAAAATTAATAAAACTTACAATTTTTTAAATTTTTTTTTAGCGATTTAAAGTACTGTAAAGAAACTAAAATTGATGAACTTCAAACCGCTTCAAACATCTTTCTTGCAAATTTAGTCAAATATAACTCTTTAAATCAAATCTGATCTTACTTAGTGAAAAAAAGGGGAAAAATAACAACGATTATAAAATAGGAAGTTTCTCAAGTTTCTATGTGATACAGAAAAAAAGCAGTATATTATTAATTATTAAATATTAAAATGAGAGATAATCAAAATTAAAGAGAATATTTTGCTTAAATACTTTGTCTATATTTTTTTATCAGTTATGAAAAACAATACAATTGTCAATACATTTCAAAATCATAGCATCATCAGATCTCCATTGTTATTTTTTTTTTGTCATGCAATACAAGCAAAAAATACATGTACTTATTGGTAATAATATCAATCGAGAGAACAACTTAGGAATGCAGTCGCAAGAACTGAGTGTGTGTATCTTTTTTTAGTTGTATACTTACAATAATAATTCCTTTTGCCTTAATTGTAATATAAAGTAATCTTCTGGTTGAGTTACACAGTTTTGGTAATATCAAAAAACTCTCTCCCTCACACGGGCCTAACCATTTACTTCAAAAAACATTTTCATTGTTATTCTTTCCTCTCTCACGAGTGTGATTTTTTAGCACTTGTTAATCGTTTTTTTTTTTTGTATTAATTTTAAAATTTACAGCCTGGTTTGTATGTTATGTGCCTTGAGCGCTGACAGCAGCCATCCTTAGGGACGATCTTGTTGATATTCGATTTCGGGTCCGTCGTGGTTGCGGCGGAGGGCTATGCGGTGTCGGTCGAAGCTGTCATGTTGAAGTGCTGGCCTCTCGAGTTGGTGCCGCAGTGCGACATGGTGCCCACGGCCCGTGACCTTTGAGACCTGTGCGACCCGTGACGCGTCAGGGAACTCGTCTGCGGGGTTCCAGGCAATGTCTGGCCCAGGGCGTTCATGTAGTCGGCAATCAAAAGGGTCACTTCAAGAATCTGGAAGGCCGAAAAGAAATTCATTTTTAATGCAATTTCTGAGAAAGTTTTAAATCATTTTATTTATTAAATTAGGAAAACTTAATCATTTTTAATTTATAAATTTTAAGTTTAAAAAAAATGAAGTTTTTAACTTATAAATATAATTAATTGCAAATTAAAAATATTAAAATATTTTTAATATTTAAAAAGGATTTTTTAAAAATAAAAGAAAAATAAACTATTTTTTATTAAGAAAAAGAAAAATAAGCTAAAAATATTAATAATATATATATTTCATAAAAGTTTTTTAATTTATTTTTATAAAAAATTTAAAATTTAGAAATAAAAACTATTTTTTACTTGTATGCTAAGTTTTTAATTTCAAACATATAATTTTATAACAGAAAATATATATTATTTCCCTTAAGAACCCAATTTAGGAATTTTTAATTCTAACAAATTTTTAAGTATTTTATATGAAAATATAATTTACCTTCGCTTGGCTCAGCGCAAAAAGCAGTCGTTGTGATGTACCCTTGCCCTCGGCCTCTCTGCTGACGACCAACATGAAGTCGTCCTGACACCCTCCGAAGGTCACCACACTTGTGTAAGGGTAGCGCGCCTTCAGGGCCATTGTTCCCAACTCCAAAATTGTCACAGCGTCTTCACCCACGGACATCCACACAACACCCTTTTCTGGCCCAGTGCACATCTGGAAATTATTGGAAACAATTTATTGATTAAAAAGTTTGGAATAAAAAACTATGGTTACCTTGGCTTGGTAAAGAGAAGTACCAAAATATGGCCATTTCCTCGCACACGTCAAATAAATTCGCACACAATCAATCACACTTCGGCCCCTGAGCGCAATCCACTTCTCGGCTAATCCGTCATGCAGCTCCCTGCAAGTAGGAAAATGACCAATGTTTTAGAAAAAATGCATCAATATTTTGGTTTAATAGAAGATTATAATCAGTAGATTGGAAGTGCAGGAAAAAATTGATCATGGGAAACAATGAAAATAGTAATTTTGCTAATTATTCACAGTTATTGACCGTAACAAAAGCAAATTGAAGTTAATAAAAAAATTTTATTTATAAAATTATGTATAAATACAAAAAAATATAAATTTTAAATATCTAAAAATTTTATAAAATAAAATAAATATAATTTAATATTATAATAAATAATAAAATATAATATAAATATTAAAGTTTTAAAAAATTTTTGAATTAAATAAGTTAATTTTAATCGATAAAACCTTTCAAGTTATAAACATTAAACAATACATTATAAAATTTTGCAAATAAATAAAAGATAATTAAAAATAAGAGTTCATTACTTCAAAAAAACAATTATAATGATGTTATTTGAATTAAGCCAATTAAACTCTTTTTGACCAAATAAATTTTTTGGTGGAAATAAAATTCAGCTCTCTTACGTCAATTGCTGGGGGGTTGCATTGTCTCTGTATCTAGCTGGCAGGAATTTGTCCATGGCTGACTGGAGCTGCTGGGCGAGGAAGTGCGGGTTGCCCGGCGGCGCCTTTTCCGGGTACTCGCCCATGTCGATCTGCGCCATCAGGGCGGCCATCTCGAGGGCGAGCGACCTGTTGAGGGGCAGGCGGCCTCTGGCCGCCTGCTGGGCGCACTGGTAGCACAGCAGGAGGCGCTCCTTGTCGGTCTCGCGCTTGGCGTTGTGTCGCCACCACAGGCGCGACTTGAAACTCAGCTTGATGGCCCGCGAGTTCTCGAACTTGCCCGAGCCCTTCTCCCTCAAGGCCACTTCCCACTTGGAAATCACATCACAGACTTTGGCCGAGTGCGCCACGTAGTGCTCCAGGTCGCGGTCGATCGGGTCGTCGCTCGATAGGGTGAAGCCCGACTGCGTCACGTCGCGGCACCCGATCTCCTGCACCAGCGACGCCAGTAACTCCTCCACGGTTGTCGAACCGTCAAAACTCACAACCTGGATCATGGAACAAAATAAAAATTTAACATTAAATTTAAGTAAATTTAATTTTTTATGTAAATTTTTGAAATAAAGATAGAATTTTTGTAATTATTTTGCTTGTATTGTCATTAAAAAATTAAAATTCAAAGCAATTGTTGAAATTCTTATTTTTAAATGTTTTTTCTCCTATTAAATAGAAACAAAAATATAAGGAAATTTTGAATATTTTCTTATGAATAAATTAAAAACCAAATAAGGTAAAATATTTTCCTTTTATAGTGATTTTCTTCTTTTTTTTATTGTAAATTTAGATTTCTTGAAAGTAAAGCTTGTGTTACAGTATTATATGACACTTTTTTTTTTAATTTCCTCCAATTTTTAAATTGAACTAGCATTTTACGCTCCTTTTTTATTTATATTTTACCTGGTAAGTTCCATTCAGCATGTGGACTGGTATTGCGTGGGGCAGGGAGTGATGATAAGGGTTCTTCAGAAGGATGGACAGAACCTCCATTCGAGAAGGCCGAGCTTCCCTCGCGCCGTTTGCCAGGGTTCTTTCCAGCGCTCTTTGGCAATAAGCTGCGTATTTCCCACATTCCGTTCTGCAACATTATTTCAACATTCATTAATATTCCAGTTAGTCAGTCTGAACAATTAAACAAAATTTTAGGCAAACAAAACAGAGAAGCAGAAAAAATATTTATTTTATTTCAACGATAGGTGATAAATTAATAGAATATGATCTCAAATGCTAATAAGAAGTATATTCTGACATTCTCAGAACTAGGAAATGCATAGGCTGCAACCAATTTGCAAAATATGAAAAATTCATTTCCATTGTTTATAATTATAATAAAATATAATATATATAAATATTGTAATATTGGGTTCTATTATAAAAATAAAATTAAAATTTTCAGCAAGAAAATATAATTTAAAATAAAGAACTAGAAAATTATACAAATATAATTAATAGAGAATCAATGGGATACTAAATAAATAAAATAAAAAAAATGCAGGTTTTTTTTTTAAATAAATATCAGCTTTTGCTGACCTAACCCGCCATTAAAATTGCACTCACCCAATTTTAATCTCACTAATTTTCTTATGTTGCCTTCATTAGCTTTTATTTGAAAAATGTAATTTGATATTTAAAAAAATTATTAAATGTCCGAATTATCTATGCTCTTAATTTACTTTATTTTAATTTTATTCTTAATCTTATTGCAAAATATTTATCCCTTTTCCCAAATTTATAGTTTAAAGTTTGACAAAATAAATGTTTTAAAATTGAATTTTAAATATTCCTATTTATATTATTCTTGCAATCACAGATTTAAAAAAGAAGTCAAGCGGCTTATGGAAAAGAGACTAAAATGTTTTGTTGGAAATATGACAACATGGTAAATCTAGTTTCCATTTCTTTTATTTATAATAAAATAGGCCAAACAAATATTAACTGAATCGTATTATAAACCAAATTATAAAAGTTATAACAAAAAAGTAAAATTATAATTTTATTATTTAAGATAACAAATTAAAAAAATATAATAGAACATAAAAGAAATAAATAAAACATTTTATTTTTAATAAATGTTAAAATCAGTTAAATTATAATGTTTATAAATAGATTTTAATTCTTAATAAAACTATAAAACCTAGCACAGCTTGAGCTAACCTAACCCGCCATCAAAATTGCACTGCACCCAATTTTATTTTCACTGGGGTGGGTTAGGCTTTTGTATTGCCCTTATTAGCTTTCATTGAAAATAAAAATATTTGCAATAAAAAATAAAAAATTTTATACATATTTTATACTAATAATTTTTCTAGTTTCAAAAAATGACTGATCTGAAAAATCTACTCACTTTGAATCTGCGTTTCTGGCAAGGTGGAGTCGCAGGAACCAGAGGAGGCGGCTGTTCCTGGGCAGGAAGAGGGACACGGCGAGGGCCAGCAACTGCCAGCCCTGGATGAAGACGAAGCTCGGCGGGTTGGCCTTGCAGTCAAGGGGCAGCACGCTGTTGCCTCCGGCCGTGGAGGCGGCGCCCGTGGCGCCGGCTCCGGTGGGTCCGGCGCCGCCGATGGCGCCGCCCGTCGCCGACTGCTGCGAGGTCGGAGAAGCCTTCTGTTGAGCGTTTGCGGCGTCACACAAGAATAACGATTGCGTGGCGCACAACAGCAACTGCTGGAATGGAATGGGGACACACACGAGGGTGGAAACGTCAATCCCTTTGCTTGCCATTTTTTTTGCGAATTTATTCTTTCAAAGTGTTCGAATTTTCTCTCTCTTACCAGTTTAGCCGACTGCTGGTGTGTCTTGCTAATCTGACATTTACATAATTAAATTATAAAAATAAAAACATTTATTTATAATAAGTTGCAATAATAAAAATGTTTGAGAAAATTAAATGATAATAAGCAAAATTATTTTTACACCGAATTGCTTTAATTCTATAAATGGTCTAATTTTCTATCATTTTTGCAAAAGTGAACACAGAAATAAATATGTAAATAAACACAGATATTTAAATATTTAAAATTGGCTCTCCTGTTCTCAAAGCATAAAAATTTGAAGAAGCAAACAAAGAGATACAAATATCTGGGTGTGGGAATTTGTGTCTTCTGTGATTTCTTAAAAAAAATTTGAATTTTTTATTACAAATTTAGGGAAATTGGGTAGGATGGTTTTTCCATTTAATGCTTTTCTTGTATAAAACATTCCATTCCAGAGCTGACATAGATAAAAGAAACTTATCACACATAAATACACAGGCAGTGAGAGAACATTCAATGCTGGTGCATTTTTTTTTTTTAATTAGAGGCCTAAATAATTATTTTGACAAGTGCGTCTCGCTCTTGATTGTTCTCTATGCAGTGCGAAGTAATTTAATGCATTAAAAGATAATTTGAAATTTAAGCTCAACGCTTAAGTTCGGTACCTTCTAAAATTATCTTTTGCTGCATCAAAATTTCTTAAAAATTCTATCTTAGATTTAACATCATATCCATGTGTATAATTAGGGGATGCATATGAAGCTGAAGCATATTAATGAGCAATAATTTTAATTTTAAAATCATTATAAAATAATTCACTCAAGCCAAAATATTTAATTTGAATTTCATAAGAAGCACTGTGAATGAATTGGCAAAGTGAAACGTTTTCAATTGAATCTTTTTCAACTAAAATAAACATCAAAAGCTGAATTATTTTTCTATGCCAAATATAACAGAAATCAACATGCTTGAAATTATTTCCAAATTTTAAATCATGCAATTTATAAAAAGAATACAATAATTAAAATATTACAATTTCACATGCAAGGAAAGGTGGTTAAGGATGATTAAGAATAAAGGATGTCTTTTTTAAGTCAAGATCATCATCAAGATCATATAATTAATAAATTTATCTTTAAAATCTTCATTAATATTATTTCGTTGGGGAGATATAAATGTATGTGAGTGTGTGAGTGATTTAGTGATTTTGCAACTAAAAAGTAAAATAAACAAAACTTACGCGGCGCTTTGAGTGCCTAAGCTTGTCGGAGAGCAGCAGCCGAGGGTTTACCTGCACTCCAATCTTGTGCTGGAGGTGCCGCGAGGTTTGCTTCATCAGGCCGCAGAGAAGTTCCGCTTGCAGTTCCGGAGAGGTCAGACATTGCTGGAGGGCGTTTTGCGCCAGCACCACGTGGTAGTCGATGCCGGCCGCGTCCAGGGGCACAGACATGAAGAGTTGACAAGACTGAAAGTATAAGACAAAAGTTTAGAAATTTAAATTATTAAGTCTTGAAATTACACAAATTTTATTTCCATCTATCATACAAATAATTCATTCAGATCAGTAGAATTTAAAATTTTGTTTAATTTGAAAAATTATGTATTATCGTTAATTTAGGCAATTTATATGTTTAAAATTGAAATGTAGTAAAATACCTTAAATAATTTCAGTGATTCCCCTTGTAGTTCTTCCCTAGGCAGAGTAGTCAGTGGTGAAGTAATGCTATCTTTGGTGTGTAAGAGTAATGGGTGCCTCCAAAGAACACAAGCTGTAGGAGAAAAGATGATTAATTTTTGAAAAAGGAAGAAAACGTTGAAGTTAATTACTAGGGTCGCCGTCAACTTCCATCAATCTTTGGACCAGTTGCTCGTACTGGGTGCCTGCGTTTGAGCCTCCACCCGAAACGACGGTCAAGTGGTACATCCACGTGTCCTAAGAAAAAAAGTTAAAATATGTAAATTCAGGACGATACCTCCCCAGTTGCCAAAACGAGAGGATAATATCCGGATAATTTTTCGATTTTGGCAGCTGGGGCTTTTCCTAAATTTTCTTTTATGTTTGAATCATGAGATGGGGTCAAATTTTACCTTATCCTGCTTTGCAGGCATGATCAGGTACGTAGGCCCTTGGTGTGAGGGGTGCAGAGCAATGGTGAGGTCAGCAGTGTGCAAATTAATTCGTTCTCCGTCGTGCTCCTCGGAGCTGTCAGAATCCGAAACATGGTCAACCTCCTCCACTCTGGCGTCTCTCATGTTGATTTGCCCCAGTGGTGTCTAAAAAAAATTAAATCAGGCAAAGTTTAAATTTGAGTTAACATATAATAGATTGAGAATAATATTCTACAAATTAAATTTGGCGTTGCCAAAATTGAATTGATTGATTTCCAAGTGTACTAATCACACAATTTTATATAAAAAAAGAAAGGAATAATATATTTTTTGGTTCGATAATTTTTTTTTCTTAAGTTACCGTGTCTGTAGGCCCTTTGAAGTACATGAACATCTTGCCAATGAGGACGCACCAGCACCTTCTGGTGTGACCGTTCTTGACCTTGGTCAGCCAGCCCTGGATGGTGGGTTTGTGCTCCTCCTTGTGGAGCAGCAGTTTGGTGGCGTTTCTTCGTTGCACATTTTGCAGCACCCTGATCCAGTCTTCCATCGCAGCAATCGAGTCTGCCGTCAGGTAGTAGGTCTTTTTGCCCGTTGAGATTTCAAAGGTGGCCGCGCCGTCTGCCCTTGTGACCCTGCACAGGTCATCTAACTCTATGTGGCCTTGTGGTTTTCGGCTGACGTCGTTCTGTTGAAGAAAAATTTAGCCTCAAAATATCTTTTTTTAATAAAATAGAATTTAAAATATTTATTTGTGATGAAAAATGAGTTTTGAACCTGTGATTTCCAATACATGATGACGCCGTTCTTCAACACGAACCACCGCTTGCGCCAGGTCTTCAACTTTCCGCCCAATTTGGTGAGGTAGCCTTGCTTTTCCAGACTCTCTCTGTTGGCCGTGCTGTTCGCCGAGTGCACAGGTGTGTCGTGCACATCCATCATGCACGAGTTGGAACGACCGGCCACTAAGGACGGCATCGACGACTCAATGCTTGTCGACTCACAGCAGGAAAGTGCGTCGGGTGGAATTGCGTAGTCTTCACTGGTTGCAGACTCCATTGAACAGTTTTCTGCTAATGCAAACAATATTTAGTTAAATTGTCAGAAAAAAATTATAACACATTTGCAAGCAAAATTTTCTTTAAAAAGGAAAAAAAGTACTTTGATTGACATTGAGATTGTAAATATAAAAATTAGATTTTCACAATTTAATTTTTTTTCTTTTAAATGATTGATTATTAAATAACCTCTTTTGATGCTTTTTGAGGGAGATGCACTGTTATTGATCACGTTCAACTTGGCGGCCGGAGAAAGAGTGAGCCCTTGCATGGAGGTTCTCAAGCTCTTGCTGGGGTTCGAGCCGGTGTCTCCTGAAGACTGGTCAGTGGTGTCGCCGCCACTGCTTGTTCTGCTCACACCTCGAAGGGTGTTTTCTTGACTGGCCGTGTTGTGACCGTCCTCTCCATCTGAAGAATCGGAGGAATCTCCAGTGAAGGGCATCGATCTGATCTGACTTGCTCTCTGAAATAAAATCGAAGATAATTTTTGTGGACTGCAAAATTTAATTAAATCTAAAGTAAGAAAAAAAATGTAACTTAAAATAAATCAGGCAGTAACGAAAGAATAAAAAAAAGATGAGATTTTTTTCAATAAAAGTTATCACGATTTGAATAGATAAAAACAGGCGACATACCCCTTTGACAGTTGCATACACTGGCACACTGATGTCCCCGATATAGCCACCAGGCTTGTGTCCTCGTAACGAGCTTGTGTTGTTATTCGTTGAATCGCTCTTCATAGTCGAAGAGCCGTTGACAATACTGGGGAGTTGGAAACCTATACACCGAGCACGAGGATTTTTTTTATAATAAATAAAGGCTTTTATAAAAACTTTTTGTTCCAACCTTCGTCGGCTATTTGGTAAATCTTCGACTCCCACGATGGGAATCTGTGGAGCGGCGGCGTGGGCGGCCTGGAGTCGTCGATGCAACTGCAGGACGCCTGCGAATGATCTGCTCTCTGGTCGCTGCCGCCACTGCTGCTGCCTCCAGAGCTCTCTCTGCACGTTCCAGCTACACCCCAAGAGCCGGTCACGCTCTCTTTGCTCGGAGTGTAGATTTCTGCGTAGTCGTGTTGACCGTCGTCAACTGAAAGAATTTTAAAAGTTTAATTCAAATTTGATTTTAAATTAAAGGGGCAAATTTTACCTTGGAAGGCAGGAAGGGATGGCGTAGATGATGGGGCGCAGGGGCTTGTGCGCGAAGCTGCCGGCAGGTGTACAAGGCTTGCCACAGCAGCGTGTAGATCACGAGTCAAAGTGCTAGGACCAGGACTGAAATTGGAATGATTGAAACATGAACATTAATTACGAGTAATTTTACTGAAAGTAACAGAAATAAAATCTTTGAGTTATGTAATGTAAGAAAATTTGAAATTTCACTCTGAAAACTGCAAATTTCAATCAAATGGATTTTAAGTTTTAAAAGAATTTGTCTCCATAATTAAGAAAAATACTTTTATTAAAAAAATATAGCTTTTTTACTGATATATTAATAATTAAAATGAAATATTTTACTAGCAATTGTTTCCAAATTGTAGAAATTTGTACTTTATTTAATATTTTATTACCTAAGTCTTTGGTGTCTCGATCTCCTTCTTCCTCCTCCGTGTTCTGCATCCAGGTACATTGGTTCCGGAGAGCAAGAGCCAAGGCTGTCTGAGCGGCGGTGTCCGAGGGATGAGCCATGCGTGGACGAAAGTCCGAGTGACGAGGACGAAGCAGAGGCAGGACGCGCTGGAAGATCTGGAGGCAGGGAGGCTGGGGGCGGTGACTGGTCAGCCTCAGCAAGGCTTGCTCTGGACGTCTGCAAATTTCAAATTTTAATCAAAAAATTGATTGAGTAAAAAGCAAGTTAATTGTACATGTCTATCTTTGCTCGATCCGCGGCCCAGATGGGAAAGGTGGTTGCGCAAAAGGTCGAGCTGCTCCGTGCACTTTTGGTTTTGTTCCCTCAATTGCTGATTCTGCTCCTCCAACTGAAAATCGAATTACAGAGTTGTTTGTAAGAATAAAAAATATAACTCTGGCGATAAAAAGAAAAGAAACGAACCTCTCTGAGCTTATTGGTAACCCACTCCTTGATTTTCGCAGCTTTCGCCTCGACTTGTTTGGCATCTTGCAAACGGAGCAGCCGCTGAAATAATAACACATCAATTGACGCGTGTCCATCCGTCAATATAACAATCTAACTAATTCTCGCAGTTCACTTGAGCGGCTTCCTTATTCACTCACCTGTTCTTCGACCTGAGACTCGAGCCGCGAAATCTCCTTTTCCTTTCCGTGGATCTCGACGCCGCCACTGACGGGCGAGGGTGACCAGTCGGCGGGGTTTTCCGCGGCCAATCGCTGCTCCATGCTCCTGACCTAAGGCACAAAAACAAGCCAGGAAATCCCGAATTAGTCCAATCACACGGTCTGAATCACACGCAGAAATAGAATATAAAGGTCATCAGAAACGAGCGGGAAAAGAAAATACACACGGAGGATAAAAGAAGCGCACAAACGGGGTCAGCAATAATAATATTTCTGAAGGCACGTGAGTGAGTAAGCAGAATAAATTACAAAGCAGATCAATATCGACTGCAGCATTTCGTTTATAAAACTCTGAAAATTTCGCACTTTAATCGAATAGAACAAAATTATTATCGGAAGAGAATGGAAGCGGCGAGATTGTCCACCTGTCAGTGGTGCAACGAAAACAAAACAACAAGCTACTCACGATGGCCGTGAGTCTCGACGAGCCAGTGAACCTTCTGGGCGCGGGAACGGGGCTGACGCAGCCCCCGTTGCTGGAAACGCTGGCCGACTCCATGACGAGCGCGTCGGTCGAGCTGCTGAGGGGGCATTTGCGGCCCTCGCGGGTCACCATGCGCCCAAGTGCGGGTCGGGGGTGCCGCTAGGCGAGAAGAAGCGCCCCCGCTGCCATGACCGGAGTACGCCGAGGACGCGCTCTCGCTCGCTGGTAGGGTAGGTAGTGAGCGAGAGAGCGCTCGCAAAAATCAATGACATACCACTAGCGCTCCCATACCAACCACCACGCTGCTGGCTGGGGGAAGAGAAGAAGTGTGTATAGCGCGGCCCCGTGGTGTACTTTTCCCCAGTAACTATGGAAACCCTCGGTGCGAAAGAGAGAGGGCCAAAGTAAGACTCTATCTAGATGCAAAAGTGAAACCGGCGGCGTCTGCGGAAGAGAGACGACGCCACGCAGTCTGCACTGCTCCTTCCCTCGACCTTGAGCCGGGGGTGGCCCGGGGGCGGAAGACAGACCTGATTTCGTTTGCCTCCTTTCCTTAATTACAACGGCGGCGGCGGTGACGAGAGCAGCTTGGATAAATATTTGGGGTGGAAGTAATCTCGCTTTGAATGAAAGAGGAACGTAAACACTTTTGCAAAAAAAGAAAAGCCATAGAAGGAAAGATGCGAATGAAAAATTTCTTTCGAATAAACCTGAATGGAAAACACTTATAATAGTTTTAAATGGACTTTTTCGAAAAGTATAAAAAAATTTAAATGATCTGCAGCTATTTTAAATTGAAATTCAAAAAATATTTGATTGAAAATAATAAACTCAGCAGTCTGCAAAAATGCACAACATTAATAATTCCAAAATCTGGAAGATTATATTTTCCTTAAATGTTTGTTAAACGTAGATTGTTCTTATAATTTTTTTTTTTTTTTTTTTTAAATTATATAAGTACCTTAAAACGCGTGCTATACAATTAAAGTAATATTTGAAATTTATTTGTATTTTTCTTCTTCTTCTAAATTTCATCTTCTCTTTTCTTAAATTATAGTTTTATCAAACCGTCATAATACAGCAGAACTTTTAAGAGCCACTTAAATAAAAATTTATTTTATCTGTAATCTCTGCGAAAGTTCGCAGTCTCTTTGCATTAACGACTGGCAAAGAGAAAATAAAAGATTTCCACCAAAGTTTTATGCGCAATTGGCAACTAACCGCAGCGCACATTAGAGTGTGGCAAATTCAGCACCAGCTGGCTGGCTTTTCGCGGAGCTCGAATCTGTCGCTGACAGCAATTAAGTGAATGAATTCCGTGCCTCTTCATTTGGCACGACCGAATTCTTGGCCGCGATTCAAAAGATTCGTTCAAGAGGAAAAGTCATGGCGTGACTTGGCCTTAATCAATCAATTTCAATACTTCTCTGTATATCTCACCGGCACCCCGAAAACTGGCATAAAAAACAAGCCCAAGTTAACCGTTAGTTATGCAAATTGGAATGTAAAAAATTCGGGTGCTGAAAAGTTTGCCTATTTTCCTTGGCAGCTGTTGTAATTTGTAGACGGAAAGTACTTTCGTGCCGGCGAACTTTCAAGTATAAAAGCAAGGAGGGCGGATAAGTTTTTGAATAAATACAAAAATATATCTCACGTTTTAAAATTAAAAAGCAAACAAACAAAAAACAAAACGAGAGAGCGAAAGCAGCAGTTTTGCAATCACTCTAAAATTTAGGTCAGAAGTTATTCAAGTTATGCTTCCTTACATTGCACGGGTGTCAAGCCGGTTGCATACACCTCAATATTGCAGGCGTGATACAAATGGAATTGGTGAATCAAATTCAAAGGCGGCAGCTTAAACTTCATGAGTTTTCAGGGTCGTTCTTCGTTTGACAGATAAAAAAAATATCTTGCATAAAGTTTTCAAAATATTGAAGATTTTTTACGAAAATTCCTATAAAAATAATCTGTAACATTTAAGAAAATATTACTAAAAATACTTGGGAAAATTGATTTAATGTAATGAAAAACGATTAAATATTTTCCGGTGATTAAAAAATTTAAATTATGTTAACAGGCCAATTTTCAGAACAATATTTTACTGCCAAGACGACCGAACTATGAAGAGCATGATGTTTTTTCCTTATGCAATATAATAAACTCTAAAAACCCATCAAGGAAAAAGCAACTTTCAACTCGAACATCATGAATCAAACCTCGATCGTGAAATTCCCCAACAAATTTGAATTTTCTTTCAAACCGCTATGATTATTACTACAGATAGATCAGAACCATTAAAAAGATTAAAATCTTTGATTAATTCTTTTCAAAATAATATTTGTTATTGCTGTCACGAAATACAATTTGTTACCGAGCAGCCCTGCGTGAACTGACCGAATTCTTCTTCGGCAGCACGCTATTAATAATCGGCTTAGCTATAAATGTAAGCATTTGATCCGAGGGTGGCGACGTGGGCGTGCAGAAAAAACTGCCTCACAAACATCTGCTCGGCTTGGGGTCACGCAAATTGATTGATTTTTAATTCCAAACTCGGTGAAATCGATCTCTTTTTGCTGAGCTCCACCCTTGCTTTTGCCAGCAGGGGATGAGAGCGGCTCGGCCAATTTCCTTTTTCGCCACAACGCTGAAAGGATTAATTTTAATTTGTTTGCTTTTCGCTCGACCGCACTCGCTTCTCCGCGCCACGGTCGCTCTGGGGCAGGTAAAGGTCTCGCAGCAAATTGCCCGACATCCAGTTCCCTTCCAGCGCTCTCCGATCATAAAAATAAAATTAAACTATAAAATTAAATAATTTATGAGGCGGACGACGCGTCCTTTTTTTCTTCGATCCCGCCGGGTGTCTCTCCGGGTCGCAAATAAAACGGGGCCCGAGCTGCGCCGCCGCCAAATGTTTTACAGCTTGACCAACAAACACTTCTTTTCCTTGACGCTCGCTTTGATATCGGCCGTAATAAAAAGCCGCCCATTCAGCTCGCTGCACGCACTCGACCTTCTGTACAACACGCGACAAAAATTGCCAGAGATTCTCCAGCAAAAAAAAAAAAAACAAAAACACCACAAACAAAATTAATGCAATTTTGATATCATTTCTCGCAAAATTTACGATTCGATTAAATTAGTCTTGCTGAAATTAAATTAGGCACGTTATTTTGGAATAATAAGAGAAAAGAAAGCTAATTGATTATAATTTTTGTGTGAAAAAATCGTAGAACAGAAAGGAGAAAAATAAAATAAGAAAATTGATCATTTTGGGCTCTCATGTATCATGATTGTTAAATTTTTTCTTTCAGAAATATAGAATTCTTTACCCAATTGAATATTGAAAATAGGAAAATTGTGGCGTAATTTATTCCTCAAAAATAATTACAAATTTTGATATTTTTAAGGGATGATATACCTTATCTGCTTTTCTATGTACAACAATAACAGTCAGTGCTGTCAATATACTGATTCAGTTGTCTGTTTACCGTGGGCTGGAAGTATTTAAAATTTAACTTCATCTGGATGTATCATGTCAAATTATATTTTCTAATATCCATTATTTATCACAAGAAATTGTAGATGGTTTAGCTTACATTAGATCCATTTTTGAACTTGCCTTGTTGTAATGTTGCAATTGTTGTCTTGCAAATTTATATACTTTTATAAACATAACATATTTTTTATTCTACCAATTGCATTAAAGGAATTAATAAATTACTTTAATAGAAAACGTAGAAATTAAATTAAATATAAAAATTAAATTACAAAAATTAAATATATAATTATGTATAATATTACTGGAATAACTAGTTTTAAATATTTAATTTTGAAAACATAAACATTGATAAGCACACTTTTTATTATTTTTTATCTAAAAATTTTTCAATTCCTTAGAAGCTCAATCAAAGTTATTATTATTTGTAGGGTCAGGCCGGCAAGACAAAGTGTTTTCGGCCTGTGCCCTTTATTTGTGGTGCAGAAGGCACCACCCAATTTTTTTTATTCCATATTTTGGGCTAATGACTAATGTTATTCAAAATCATCATTTGATGGTCCACGCGATTAGGTTAAGCTACGCATTTGGTTTTGAGAAACTTTCAATGTATCTATGACATGGCAGATTTTGAATAAAAAAATAATAATGCATTTTAGATAATTTCTTACTTAAAAAAATTCAGTTTATTTTATAACATCAAATAATTAATTGAAAAAAATGACTTCCAATTTTATTGATAGACCGTTTAATGTGTCATTATTTTAGCTGAAGCTACTTAAAAACTTTATTGACGTTTGTAACTGCACCACCGTTTTTTTTTTACCTCCTTTGTCATTTAATCCAGCGGTGCATTGTGTGCTCAACAGTGAATAGAAAGCGCTGAAAAAAGTAATAAAGAGAGACGTGTGCAGCAGGACAACAAATAATAATAATCCTGGGCCAGCGTCAGCACAATGGATGACGAGGCGAACCGCATACGGTCTGCAGCAGCAGCAGCAGCAGCAGAAGGCCCACTCGAGATTTATGTCGTATTTTATAACAGGCATGTGTGCTGCTGTGCGCGCGCTAATCTACAAGCACATCAGTCTCTGTGGGTACCAACTCTTCTCCAGCGAAAACGATCGATATTTGCTTCTCTATGTATTTGTATATATGTTAAAGTACTCGTTCAAATAGAACCGGGCAGGTGCGGCAGCGTGTTAAGTTTTTAACCGCTCGGAGGTCACACGCCTTCAATCGATGTCGCTCTGTTCAGATCGGACGCCGCTTAGAATTGCAAATTGGCAAAAATGTACCTGACTATTTATTACTTCCCCAATATATTTCAAGCTTAGGAATTAAAGGCAAAAGGATTTTTTTTTTAGAAAAATAGTGACTTATTATGCAAAATGTTTTGTTAAAAAGTCCCCAAATTAAGTCATTTTTAGCAAATTTTTATTAGCCAGCGTTTTTTTCTTATATCTGTAGAAATTAATAAATTTTGAAAATAAAAACATCAGCGAGATCATAAAAAGTCTCAAAATAGGCCAGGAAAAAAATCAAATCGGAAAAGACTAAAAATCTGAAACACTCCTCTAAGAACCATTAAAAAAATCACAAGAACTCAAAATGTTAAATAGACGATTTTAGTTTCTATTTATTTTTTAAAGAAATAAGAAGAATACAAATAATTACAATTAAAACTCAGATATTTTCAGTCAGAAAAAGACAATTAGCAAAGATTCATTAGGGAGAAAAAAGTAAAAAAAGACTTCTACTTTATATGTCTGTACTTCAACTTCAAGAATGGAAATAAAATGGAAAAAAAATCAGATAAATGTTTTACAACTTCACATTTTGAGATATTGAAAACATAGTGTAAAATCCTTAAGGAGTGCATTAGTACTTCTAACTAGGATCCTTTTTGACGAATCGCATAAATGAGAGTTAGTTTTTTGAAATTAGTTAAATTGCTAATATTTTCTCTCTTCAAAATAAGAATCTAGATGCACGTGGTGTGAGTTACTTTTTAGTTTTTATATAAATTAAATTATGTTTATTTCACAACGAGGGGAATTTATTTGAATTTTATGAAAAAAAGTATAATTACAAAGTAATATTTGTTTTAATTTTTACATAAAAATATTTTTTATACTTATAAAGTTATTAAATTAAAAACTTAAAATGTTTTTAATATTATTAAAATAAACTTAATAGAAATCAATAAAAGTTTATTTAATAATAAAATATATATGTGAGAATTTTGTAAATAGTTTTAAATTTTAATAGGATTTTAATATAACATAGAATTTTATTGCCTTCTGTGGGGGCTACTAAAAAGACCGCTAACTTTGCACGACAATAAAAAATTAACTCCTGAAAAAAAGTGATGTAAGAACAAGAAGACTGATCAAAAAATTAAATTCTAAATAGTCGTTCCTCACAAATTCAGCCGAAAAAGTGACAAAAGTAGACCAAGAAACGAACCTAGCAGAGAACGAATCAAAGCGCAGACATCTCTCCATTCCGCTCACGGTACATTTGTTCTCGTTTCAAAATTACGTGACAGTTCCGTTTTATCAGGTAGAATTTGCAGCACTCGTCTCGTTCTCGTTGTGACAAATGGCACAGAGAGAAGTGTAGAGCAAAGAGATATACAAGAGGTCAAAGGTCGACGCAGATAGGGGAATAAATATGAATCCACGTGCCAAAGAAGAGCAAAAGAAGCTAGAGAGGTACTCACTTTATCCTCCGCCTCATCAGCTCTGCTCTCAGCCTCCAGCAAACGAGACTCCAACTCGGCCAACTGCAACAAAAATTACACAAAAATTTCATTTTGTTGTTCAAAAAATTTATTACCAAAATAATTAACTAATTTTCAGTTCAAAAACACTTTCTCTTGTATTATATTTAAATTAATATGTTTTAGCAAAATTCTTGCTAGTCCTACAATTTTTAATAATTATTTCAATTCTCATTGAAAGATTGTTTGTAACAATTAAAAACAATTTAAGACCCAAAGATAATTATAAATTATAATAATAATTATAAATGATAGAAAATCTGGTAGAAATCTTCTAAATTTGATGTCTATGATAAAATCAATTTTTATCGAAACAGGGTCTGGAGAATGTAAAAAAAAAAAATGCAAATTATGCAACATCCGAGATTCCCCTCTCATAAAAGTGGGTGAAAAGCACTCGAAACGCACCAAACTGCAGAGGTCGGGGTGGCGGAAAGCGCACGTGGGTGAGTTCAAGGGCCCTGGAGCCGAGAGCTGCTTTTGAAACCACGCGGATCACTGAAGGGTTTCGCGGGATTGAGCCCCCGGCATGGACTTGGGGGTGGTTGTCGGCCGGGCGGAGGCCACTGCACTCCCGGTGACTCATCATGTGGACGTATTGAGTCATTTTTAATATGCACATGTACACGCTCCAATCCACCCCTCGGCTCGAATTTCAGGGCCACCTTTTGTTGTGGGCACTCCTGTTAAATGCGCTGCTTACTTATGGGAAACACAAGAGGAGCCGAAAATTTAATTAGTGTCATTTTGCGCAGAAGAAAAAAAGAAATTTATTAAAAAAAACTTAAACTAATAAATTTTTAGCCTCCCGATATTATATTATTTATATATTATTATTTATTAATTATTTATCATAAATGTATTTTTATAATTTCGAATAGTTTTATTATTTAATATTTACACAGAATAATGTAATTTTTAGATTTAATAAGACATTCTTCAGTTTTCAAAAATAAATTAAGTTGTTTGGCTACTTAAAATATAAATAAATAAATACATAAATTTAGCGTAGCACAAAAAAGGCATATTATTGTATAATCATGTTTTTAGAAAATATCAAGAATTTGTATCTCGGTGCATTCGTACATGATTTATTATTTATATTTATTTATTTATATTTATTTTCTTTAATTTATTATATGTCAAAGTATGTATATTATGATATTTTAACTCATGCTACGCCAACTAAAATCAATAATTCTAATAATTTTATAAAAATATAAATATATTTCATAATTCAATTCAATTAATTTATTCTCTCACAGTAGGTACTAATGGCCACTTATCCAGCAGAGTTAGATTAAGCTACCATATTAAGCATGCAATTTTAATTGATTGGTTAATTTTTGCTATTAATTAGTTTAATTGTCGAAAAAAAATGAAAATTTCCATTATAAAAACGTCTATGGCAATCCAAATTTGAAATGACTTTAGCAAACTTTTCTTTTTATATTTGGACCGAACGCAATTTCTGATCTATTTAGGATGACTCTTTCAATTTTAAGGGAGAAATTACAAAAATAAAGGGAAAAAAGCACAATATATTTGAGATATATTGTATAAAAAATGTTGGCACTTTTAAAAAATAAAAGTAAATTAGTTGAATAGAGAGTTTGCCACCTCTGGAGATGCAATTTTTTTTGATTGAGGAACGCTGAAATTTTTGAATCGCGATTAAAAGTTGATATGAAAAAAAAAAACGGAATGACTCAGTCATTCTGTCGCGCATTCAAACAAATTCGCAACTTGGCTTCCTGGGGGTGTCAGCTGCATTAGCGTCGCTGATGGCCAGCAGCAGCCACCCCTGCTGCGTCTCATAACCACCCCCTCGGCAGATACCAGAGAGATAATTATTATGCACGCGGCCGTCTCGTTTGAAATCAGCGCCGTCGCCGCCCCCACTCGGCCGCGCCACCAACTCGGCCGAAGCACCCCCGAGGGTGGCTTTGGCGCCATCTGCGAAGCACCCTCGCCACCCCTGCAGCAGGTTGGCCGTTTTCCCCGCAGGTGGCGGCACCGGCCGGAAAAAGGCGCGTCGGGAAATTTATGTGTAAATTGAAGTAAGTGGGGCACGGGGTAGCGCCTCGGGGAATTACATCAGCCCGGCGATAAATAAGCAGCGCGCGCTCAGAATCAAAGCGGCCCAAGTTATTATGCGCGCATTAAACGCTACTTTACACCTGAGAGCAATGCCGTAATTTAATTTGCAGCGCGCGCAATTTATGTTGCGGCTTTTCGCTTGTTATGCGTAAATCAATGCATACACGCCAGCGAGCCAACCTCACTCCCGCTTTCCTTTTCCGGAGAAAAAGCACGCCGACGACGGAATGCGCCACTTTTGTTCGGACGCGTCGGTTGCAAACATCATTTTACATACGCACATTTCATTCACAATAAATTAATCATTTTAAACTGCAATAAAATTATTAGAATAGATGACAACTTCATTGAATTAATTTAGTTTCAGTTATTGGAGACTGGCGTTGAAAAGATATTTGGAACAATTAAATGTTTCATTTTAATTGGGGGGGGGGGGGGTCTTTTTGATCTTGGAAGCTTTAGCAAAATTCTTGCTAGGTTGTGCCGTTTTGTCAAAACAATTCTTTTTTTAGAAATAGAAACAAATTTGAACAGATAAATTACAATAATTTCGTCATAATATTATTAAATTTATTATTATTAAATGCCAGGCTAAAAGAAAAGACAAAAATTAAGTCTGATCCTAAACATAATAAGAGAGCTGCATTTATTGTCAAGAACAAGAGCAAAAACGAAAATCAACTTAAAATAAAAAGCGGTATTTGAAAGGATCAGGCAGTCTAAATAAATGCAAGCCTTCAGAACATTTTAATTGCTTGTTGTACATTTAATAATTTTTCAAACTTTATATTGTAATTGTAAAGCTTTGTAATTTCTCTCTCTTAATTTGAATAAAATGTAATAACTGAATTTATGATCGCTGTATCTCGATATGGGCAGCAAATGCTTCTGTGATATATCAATAAATATAATTATTTTTGCAACTAAAATTTTAATCAAATGCAACCCGCAAGACATCAAAATCAGCTACATATTTTTCACTGTTTTCCATTACTGAATTCAATTTTCAAACTTCCTGCTAATTTGTATTCATGAATTTAAAAACGAACATTTCATTATTTTCCTTCTCAGCAACGATTGGGTAATAATTCATAAAACTGCAAACTATCAAGTCAATATCGTAAATCTGCTGTGCAGCTTTCAGAAGTTGCGAAACTGCGCAGTTGGAGGTGTAAATTTGCCGCAGCAGCGCGCGGCAAAATTGCCGAAGTAAAACGATTAATTTGCCACGGGTTATAAGCCGAGAGCGAGAGAAAAGTAGCTCGTCGGCGTTTCAGCAGTTGTTTTGCAGCTGCACGTGCGTTGCAGCGAAAAATCTTTACGAGCGCAATAAAAGCCGAAAGTAATTTAACACAAGCATTGGTCTCGACTTTGTGCGGAGGGAAATTTTGTGATGTTCCATCTACTTAGGTCCTTTTAAGGGAGTGTCGCTTTCTCGTGTTTCAATTAATAATTCACAACTCGAGGATATGGCGACGAGAGGGAGAGCATTTGCATTATTCATGCATCGAGTGCCGCCGGAAAAATCTTTGTCGGAATCGAATTTTGTGTCCGAATAAACGAAGCAGCAGCAGCATCAGGTCTTTATAATGGAATTGCCTTTTCCAAAAAGCGAATTTTGATTAAAAACGAAACTGAGTTTCTGCCCACGAGAAAGAGAGAGAAATTTTCCTTTGAACTTTTGGGCATGCGGGGTGTGACAGCTCGTAAAATTAGAATCCGCACAAACTCACTTTCCTTTTCAACTAATATTGGATTCGAGTAATTTGTTTTTGATAATGGCGCTCGCTTATCACGTCTGCGCCAACTTCTGAATAAACAAACACGGCCTGTCGGTGAAAACAAAATGCCCACCGACCTTTCTGCTGAATTGCTCGAGGAAATATGTCATGTATTTATGTACATGCATGTTTGCATGAAAAGTTGCTCGTGTACGTTATATAGGGAAAGGTCGTTCCGCTGCCGAAATTGGTTCTGCAAGTTTGGCCCTTGAAAGTGTTCGATAACGTCTGCACCTGTGATATACAATGTGTCCTGTAATAGGCACTACAACCTTCATGGCCGTATCGTTTTCATCAGTATTTTAGTATAAATAAAATGTTTAGTTTTTTTTTTTTTAAACTTAAAATTCGATACGAAAAAACATGAATATCTGCAAATTAATAATTTAGATTACTGGTTTTTCCACAAAAAGGCTAATTTGAATAGAAAATGCCTCAGTTAAAGACATTTTTCAGCAATAAAACGAATTGAAAAATATTCTTGTAGCTAATTATAATTGTTCGAATTGAAGATTTGAATTAACTTTGTTCTAAAATTAACGACGGCATTGATTCTCTTAGAAACTTTAATTCAAGAACAACTTTTTTCTAAACAATTTTGATAATTCTAAAGAGTTAATTTTATATTGTTTGTAATTTACTTTCAAAAGAGTAAAAGTTTTAGAGCTTAAATAATATTTAGAATCAGGTTGACATAAAAAATAATGTGTTTAAGAGCAAATACAAAAACAAAAATCTACCATTCTATTAAGAATGAACATCAAAGAACAAAAAACCACATTTTTTAAGTAATAAAGTTTCCGATACAAATTCAGTCTTTACTGCAATGCTAAGATTACTTACAATGAGTAAAAATTATTTGGTATTTGGTCTTTCAATTTAATTCATGAAATTTTTTGTTGTTTACAGACTCACAACTTTGGTTTTATTGCTCTAAGCTGCAAAAGAAAATTATGAAAATTTTCAAATCATTTATAATATTGTTGATATAAATGAAAAAAATTGTAAAGAACATTTCAATAATTTCCATTCTTAAGAAACAATAAAAACTGCTATAGTTTCTTCGCACAAGCAGATAAACGCAAACCCAATGCCACAAGCCATAATCAAATTTCTGCTGCA